GTTGCTCCATCTCAAGCTGGTGACCTGGGAGCCGGTGTCGATGCTGTTCGTACGAGCACCAGTAGTAGTGTTCCAGAAGTGGATGTGACGGTCATAAGAACCTCCACCGGTGGCAAGTAGGTTCAACTGCCAGGGGCACCAACTGAGGGCCTTAACGGCAGCACGATGGTTGGTCTTGGTGAACTTGGGCGCGCTGAGAGAGCGAGCATCCCAGATATTAACCAGATTATCGTTACCACCGGTGGCGAGCTGAGCACCATCGGGTCTCCACTCCAGGCCACAGACTTCAGAGGTGTGCGAGACCAGCTCGGCAACCTTGTGCTGTGCGATGCGAACATCGTGGTTGAATACCAGACCACTGCGGGCACCGGTAGACAATGTGTGCTTCGACCAGCCCATGACACCTACACGCGAGTCATGGCCAAACATACTGCGCAGCTTGGTTCCTTCCTCGACATCCCAGATTTGGACTTCACCAGTTCCGAGACCGACACCGACATAGGCGCCATCACCACTCCACTTTACACTGCTCACGTAGGTGTCAGGTGCAGTCTCCAGCAGGCAGCTGACCGACCCTGAGTCGGCAGACCACACGTAAACATTGCGCTCCAGGCCAATTGCAACCTGGTTTCCAGAGCTCCAATCCAGCAGATTGAGGTAGTAATCGTCGAGGAGACCAGGGGCGTCCAGGACACGCTCAGGAGCGGTTTGGACACGTCGGCGGAACTGAGCGGACTGAGATTTGGCGGGCTTGAGAGGGCGGTTGTACTGAGCGCGCAGATCAATGGGCTTGGAAGACTCTGGGGGTGGCGGCTTGAAGGCCAGGATACGAGTATTCAGATTGACACCACAGGCATCTGCCAAAGATGACTCGTACGCAACAGCATCCGGTGCTGGCTTGGTGTATGAGGTCGTTGGCTCGTTATCCTCGAGTCCAAGGCTTTCCAGAGCTGCAGTGATGTCTTCATCTGTTCCGCGGCCACCAATGTCGAAAGCACTCGCGGCATTGGCAAGGACGGAGGATCCATCGCTGCTACTGGTCTTTGGTCGTTGGCTTTCCTCTGGCTTGGCTGTACCAGCAGTCACAAGTCCCTCACTGGCAGTACGGTTCGGGATGAATCTGTCACCTGCGTTGTGGGGAATGCGAACGGTTGTCTTTCCTGACCTCGTAGTCCGAGTGGTGATCTCCTTCCTAGGTGCTTCCTTCCTCGACACCTCCTTCTTGATAGCCTCCTTCTTCGGCGGTTCTTTCCTGGCCACTTCCTTGGTCACCTCCTTCCTCACGACCTCTTTCCGCAGGCGCTCTTTGGTAGGAGTCTGTGATGAAGGACCAGTGCCAGTCAAGGCCCATTCTGATACACCCAGCTCAAGGTGTCTGGGAGACTTGCGCGTGCGAGCACGGGCGATGTTGGACTTGGGGGATTCGCGGTAGTTGCGGGCTGTCCTCGAGACAGACTTGGCGAAGTATGAAGAGAGGTTACCACCATAGACAGACTTTCCATGCTCCTTGCCCGATTCTTGAGCACCACAGGGAGGTGTGAATGGGGAGGAGTGGTTTGACGTCACACTTCCTGCGCGAGTGCGTGGTGAAGGCGTAAGGGGCATGCGGCCACCAGCCGTCTTAGTGGAGAAGATCCCATGGTGAGTCTTCACGGGAGTCGAAACTGTAGGTGTAGCCATGCTGATATATATTTAATTTTCGAGAAATAGGGGAGGGTATCGAGAGAGAACAGCCTTCAAGGTCCGTTTGCAGGGCCAATCCCAGTCACGCTGGCTTGGTCACAGGGACGAAGAAGACCTAACTGCGATACAGTAGTATTGAATGCAGGCAGGGAATACCAATCCCACGCAATATGGTATGCAATTAGTAGCAGATAAATGGCAAAGAACAAGGAAGATGATGAAGAGGAGGAAGAGGAGGGGACGGGGGTGAAGGAGGAAAAGGGAGTAAATAAAGGATATAGTTCTGCTCACCCATGGCAACGCCGGTTACTGGAGGTACGGCTGCCCTAGTCCCGTTTAGGTTAGATTGCCACCTGACATGCGGCTCTTCCCTTTTCGGCGACGATCGGCTTGGCGCTTGCCGTTTCTCCCCTTTTCATTTTCCTTTTTTTCCCTCTTGCCGCTGACAAGAGACGTGGGGTCACTGCGATCAGCATCAGTATGTGAGGAGAGTGTGTGTTACTACTGATTTATCTTTTGATTCACCATCTTTGCCCTTCGGTTATCCTCCTTTTCTGACCCCCTGGGCCCGTCTTTACTGTCGGACCCTAATGGCGCGGCTATCCTCCACTACCGCCAGGAATAGTAACGCTTCGTCGCCCCTTTCGCCGTTCCACGCTGACCCACCGCGTTGGACCGGGTCGTCCAGGACTCCTAACCCGATGACTCCCCTCTCCTCCACCCTTCAGAGACCGGCGTCCACATTCCTCATGCCACCTAGTCCCAGTGATGGTCGCCGTAGTGGCGCGGATTACCGCCCAAGCATCCGCAAGGCACAAGGCCATGTGCCAGCCTGCTTGGTCAATGCTTCGGTGACGTATTGCAATAATGACCAGATCTACGCTTTCGGCGGCTTTGATCAGTACACGGATGAAGGTGCATATACTTATTTCTCATACTGTTCATCGTTCAAGTCTAATACTAATGCTTCTTACTTGCTAAAATAGTTTACAACCACGTCTTGCGTCTGAATCTCAATACTCTTCGGTGGGAACTGGTTGATAACTATGGTGACATTCCCGGTGTCCGCATGGGTTAGTTTCCCCACATTTTTGAATACTTACGATAAGGAAACGCAAATCGTACTAATTCAGACTCTCAATCGTTGTAGGTCATACGGCTACCCTCTACCAAGGTGATAAGTTGATTGTTTTTGGTGGAGAAAATGAACACCGCGATCATCTATCTGACGTTGTCATCCTGGACATCTCAACCTCTACCTGGACTCAGCCGGAAATCCATGGACCGATCCCCCGAGGAAGGGCTCGCCATGCTGCCGTCATCCACGATGAGAAGCTTTTCATCATGGGAGGAGTAACCGGAGAGAACAATGTGATTCTCGACGACTTGTCATATCTGGACCTGAAAACCTGGACCTGGTCTCGCACCTGGAGATTCACGGCTCGTTTCGACCACATCGCCTGGGTTTGGGGCGGCCGCCTCTGGATCTTTGGAGGGCTCGATCCTGACATGGAACGTACAACGGATATCTGGTGGCTGGATCTCAAAGGCATTCCGTCTCTTGGAACGGCAACTTCACAAGGTACCGTGGATTCCCCAGCGCCAACCAGCAGGATTACTTATAGTCCAGACGCTATGTTTAGTAGCCCCCCGCAGCAGCTTTCGGGCCGGTCCGGCAGCTATGCAGCGAATTCCGGGAGTGTTCAAGTTCGCAATGGCAATCGTCGGAAACCGATCGCTCCGGGCGCCATTTCTTGTCTTCGGTTCAAGTCCGGCCCTCACGTTCCTGCACTGTTCTCTGGCACTCACTTCCAGGCCTATGCATCTGGGGTGCTCCTGGATCTGATTACTCCGTCCGAGACAGTGCGTACCTATGAGTGCAACCTGTCATCACTGGATCTGGACGCTTTACGTTGGCAGCGGTTGGCTGACGGGCAGGAAATCTTCAAGCCGGGCTTTAGATGGCATTATTGCACTGTGAACGCTGACGGTACCAAAGCGTGGCTTCTTGGTAGTAGCCTCGACACCGGTGCCACTCCCGGAAATAGTGATGAGAATAACATGAGCGAGGTACTCTGCATTGACCTTGAGAGATACGGCTTGCTGGGAAACGAGCTGTCTGCCTTTTCGCCCAGTCAAAGCCGAACGTCGCTTTCCGAACCAACAGGGATGGGCTCTTTGTCCGGTTTAGGAGCAGACCTTTCGGCAGCGTTTGATCAATCACCAGAGTCCGGTAGCGGTGCAGACTTTATCATTACCGCTAATCCAGACGATCATGTAGACTCGGACGATGAGGCAGATACCCCCACTTCACAGTCGGAGCCAGCCTTCCTCTCCCCCAACACGCCTACTTCGCCTCCGATTCATGTGCACCGGATCATTCTGCAGCTGCGATGGCCCCACTTCAAAAGGCTTTATTCGGCTCAAATGGCTGAATACCATGCAAACAGGATGCACATCCCCGAGCCGTACTCAGTTGTGCGTGCGTTTATCTACTATCTGTATACAGATAGCATCGCCGGTCATTTGGAGTTTTGTTCCGATATCATCGACGTTGCGGGAATGCTCGTCATGGCGAATTTGTACGACATGCCTAAGTTGCGTTTACTTTGCGTCAATCGCCTTAGCCGCGAATTGGATGTAGAGAACGCTGCAATCATCTGGGAGCGTGCAGGGCGCACGAACGAAGAGTGGCTGATGCGTCGTGCCGCTCAATTCTGCCTTGCCAATTGGGGACGTGTTGTTCGGACCGATGGCTTCAAGTCTCTAAGCCGGCAGAGTTTGATCGATTTGTGCGAGGTAGTCGACACTGAGGGTCGTATTATTGCCGGGCCCGAGCTGGAGATGGTTGGAGCTTTCGGAGAAAATAAGGATCCGAAGCCTTCCCAATTGGCCCTGAGCGGTGCTATTGCTGACAATATGGAGGACATTGATGGTGATGATATTGATGGCATGGACATCATCTAATGTTGAGGAAGACTGTCTGGATAGAGCTTCCTTTCTTTTCTTTGTTCATTTTGTGTTATGGACTTTTCTACAGAGCAGTTACGATACGGGATGGCGTGAAACAGGCTGAGAAAATATGTATGGGCCAGGATGGTATTTTGAGTTAGGAGTTTGCAAATTGCGGTTACGATAGGGAGTATTTGCAGTATAGCGTTAGCATAAATTGATCACTTGCTTGTTTTATTCATATTATAGCTGGCTTTTCATCATCGGCCTAGCAAGTAGGCTGCTCTCCCAGATATATAGACATACAGCAATCACATCAATAGCATCTCCACCACATCCACATCAATACAATTGACCCAGTAGAATCACACCCACCTCTGCCCCTCCCCATCAAACCCAATAACCTTGAAATCAATCCCCATCGTCTTCAACATCATCCCGATCGTGAACTCTTCCTCCTCTTCCTCATCTTCTTCCTCATCCTACCACATATATAATATCAGCACATATCCAATCCACAAAACACCAACCAAGCAGAAAAGAAAAAGGATAGTTAAGACAAACCTTCTCCTTACTCCCACCCCTCTCCTCATGATCATGCCCATTATCATTATCACCATCCCCCCACCACCCACCACCCCCCTCACTCCTATTCCGTTCCATCCCCTTCCACCCCCTCACACCCCCCATCCTCACTACCCTCTCCCTCGCCCCCTCAAACACCCCCTCCGCAACCCTTTGCCCCACACCCCTCCACTTGACAATCAACTTCTCTAGTTCCTCATCGCGGTGGGATCCCTCGATGCGATGGGCCTGAGTAACTGTTTCTAGTTCGGTGCGGAGAGAGAGGAGTCGGGATTGGAGGTGCCGGTGGGTGGTGCGGAGGGTAGAGAAGGTGGGGTCTTCTTCTTTTTCTGCTTTTTTCTTTTGCTTTTCTTTGGGGGTAGGGGTATTTTTGGGGGTGGGTTTGGGGATTGGGGTGGTGAAAGATGAGGGGTTGGGTTTGGGGGTGGCGGGTGTTGTGTCTTTGGAAGATGAAGAGGGTGTGTTTGTGGTAGTTGCGGTGGTGGTAGTATCTGGGGCTGATGCTGATGCTGGTTCTGGGGCTGGTCTGCGCAGAGGCGATTTGAATGGTTTAGTGAGCGTTGATGAGGGTGTTGATATGGTGCTCGTGTTTAGACGGCGGCGTTTGGGATTGGGGGTTGGTGTTTGGTTTGGGTTCATTGTGTGTGTCTTTCTCATAGTCTGGTTTCTTGGGTTCAAGAGGTTCAATGGCTGAGCGAGGTATTGGTATGCAATTGGGATGGATTGTGGGATGGTGTAAGTATGAACTTGAAGAAGTATGAAGTGGAAAGTAAATATGCTTATCGATAAGACGAGTCAGCTGATAAGATAAGATACTCAGTCAATTCTCTACATACTCGGTAGATGGTAACTAACTAGGAAGGTATCATTCGTGTACTTAAGCTAAATCAAGCATATACATTACTGCGAAAAGCACAATTCTATATCATTAATGACCTACCGCCCCAGCAAGCCAATCATTGAATCCCGGCTCGCCCGGGCGAGGAAACATTCCCCGATCATTGTTGGCATTGCCTCCTGCCGCCGCATTCGCGCCGCCGTTGTCGTTCTGACGCTGGCGGTTGCGCTGCTGTCTCATATACACGAGGACAAGCAGCGTCGCGGCAAGACTGAGAATGAGCAATCCCTCCAGAAAGCTATCATCGATATCGAGCTCCAGCTCGTCGTAGTAGCCGTCTTCGCGGTGGTCGTCCAGGCGATTGCTCGACATGAGTTCGTCCTCCTCGTCCTGTTTGTACATCTGTGCGCGGAAGGCGGCCTCTTCTTCCTCGTTGTTCTGGATAAAAGTAGCGATGAATTCCTTCAGGGTTCGATGCGATCTCACTTCTGCGTTGGTGTGTAAGTGTGGCTGTTCGGATCTTCTCAGCGGGAATGACGTTGGGGTTGCTTACCTTCTTCCTCCTGGATGGGATTAATGTCTCCGTTCGTTAGCCAGTTCCAGTATCCCCGCATCCGCAGTTTAAGCAGACTGAGCTTCACGGGCAGATACGCCTCGGAGCTAGTCTCCAGCGCGAGATCGTAGTATCGCTTGGCCATGTGGAAGTCTTGGTCCACGGCAACACCATTCTCATGCATCCATCCCAGGTTCCAGTACGCCTGTGCGCTGTAGTGCACCTCGGCTGCGGTGTGGTAGCAGGTCGAGGCCTTCTCCGCATCCGCAGTAATGCCCATGCCCGTTAGGTAGTAATCGCCCATCTTGAGCAAGGAGTCGATGTTCGCCTGTTTGGCGGAGCGAGTCCAGTAGATGAGAGCCAGCGCCGCATTCCGCAGCAGAGCTGGTCTGCTCTTCTTGGCTCCTGGAAGGATGGTATCAATGGCGAACAAAGACCGCTGCTCATCCAGCAGGAACGCAACATTGGACTGCGCATGCTCGTAGCCCTGCTCCGCAGCCATCAGCGCCGGGATGAATGCCCGTTCCTTGTCTCCGTTCTCATATGCGGTGTTCGCTTCCTCGAAGGATGAATGGATGACTTCCGCCCGTTCGGCGACCATCTTGTAGTAAGACGCGGCCATTCCGCAGTGTCGTTTCCGCCCAACCCCATTGTTGGACAGTTCTGCAAGGTAGTAGAAGGCCTCCATCCAGCCCCAGCGCGCAGCGAGTTCGAAATAGCGGGTGGCGGTCTGGACATCCCCTTGGTCCAAAAACAAGGCACCCAGTCTCGTTTCGGCGGCCGGGAAGTCCTGCTCGGCCGCAGCCTTGAAGTATGATGCAGCTCTGAAGGCGTCTGGTGTGACGCCATAGCCATGCAGGTACATCAGTCCGAGCTCATGCTGGCAGAGCGCATCACCGTTCGCGAGTCCACGCCTAAACCAAGTCTGGGCAGTTGCAAAGTTCTGTTCCACCCCCTCGCCCCGCAGGTACATCATGCCAATATGGCCTGCTGCTTTCGAAGCCAGCTTCTCAACACCAACAGGATGGTTGGGGTTCACCGACCCGTCTTTATTCCAGTACCGCTTGGTGACCTGTCTGAAGTAATTCATCGACTTGCGGAAATTTCTAGGCAAGCCGCGGCCCCCTTCATAGTGCATCTTGCCCAGGCTGAAAGTAGCCTTCAGTTCGCCCTTTCTCGACATCAAATCCAAGTACTCCAAGACGTCTTCCAGGCTGGCTTCCGTGCTCGAATGCGTTCCATCGCGCGCAGGTGTCGATACACTGGCGCCTTCACCATAAACACCACCCTCTTCGTCCGCCCAACGGTAGGACTCGCGGATCATGCTATTGCCACCAGGCGGTCCAGATCGGTAGTAATCAATAGCCTTGTCGGCCACCTTCTTGTAGTAATAAGTCGCTTGGTCGCAATCTCTAGGAGCCCCGATTCCAGCGTGGTAGCGATATGCGAGGGTCATTTCCGACTTCGTATTGCCCGCTTCGGCCGCAAAGGTGTGGTATAACAGGGCCTTGGCCTGGTCGCGCTCCACAGCACCCCCAACACCCGTTGCATACATGAACCCAAGCATATATTGTGCCGTACCGTTTCCAGTCGACGACGCCAAGGTCTGGTACCAATGGAAAGCCTGCTTGAAGTCTCTCGGGTGGGTGAAGTTGCCGTAGAAGTTCATTTCCGCTAGGAGGAAGATTGCATCGGGGTTTTGGTCCTCCTGCGCCGCAATCTTGAGTTCGTTCGCAGCCTTTGCAACATTTGGATCGAGTTTCTGCTTGTGTGTCCCATCCGGCTGCGGTCCATTCATGAATAGGATCCGGAAGGCTTCCTGGGCGTAATGCCAAGTGTATCCCAGTAGACCGGACGGTTTCTCGTGAGTGACTATGGGGATTTTGCTTTCTCGGAGGATTCTAAGGGCATTTTGGACGTGTTCTATTGGTACATCAAGAATTCAGTTGTTAGCAAGGATGAGTGCGCTGGCGTCATGCACAGGGCTGCTCACCGTGTCCCGGTAGGCTGTTAGAGCTCTCGGGCCCGCTCGAGGACTCAGCATGTGCATATGATTCAGGAACGACATCTGTTAAGGGTTCTTGTTTGTCGGGCTGTCCATTATGTTCAACCGCAAGCGCCTGCAGAAGCACTGGAAAGTGGTGCTTGGAGGTCAGTAGCTATCGCGTGATGCGGCTAAGCTCCACAGTGAGACTCACGAAGCGCCAACGGCAGGAAACGCCACAGCCACCAGTTCTTCATGTTGTGTGAGAGAGATGAGTAGGAGTGAACAGTGAGAGGCGCATGGCGACTCTGTGCTCAAGCTTCCGATAAGTAAGAGAGGGGGGAGGAGCTGACAGTGAAGATGAGCACTGGAGACTCGGGGGAGTTGCTTGCTCGGCCCCGATGCGGAACGGGCCACCTGGCGTTGCGGAGCTTCATTTCGCCGACGTTCTTGGCTCCTTCACTACATTACCATCTAGACTACAAGTACATCTACTACTACTCTTGATCACTACATGGCACATGTGTTGGCAACCATTTTCATTATTATTGACCTCCGGTCTCGTCCATAACCCATCTGCAGTCGTCTGTGTACAAAGCATAGGGATACTGATCGATCGCAGCAATACACGCAATAACTCGTCCTCGATGCAAACTCAGAGAAAACAACACCATCTCCGGAGAGGACCATCGTATTCTCATAACCGAGTCATGGTCCACAAGCATCCTCAAGTCTAAACGCTTGGTAGTTCAATGTGCAAAAAAAAAAGGGGGAAAGAAAGCAAGCAAAACACAGAATATCACCAACCCACAAAACCGTTCGCAATTTCAGCAGGCTGGCTCGAAAAAAAGAAAAAGTAGGAAAGGAAACTAATACGGGATAATAAGGGGATCGACCTGCAGGCTGACGCAAGAAGAGAAAAACATACAGTTTAAAAACGGATGGGTGAAAGGGAAAGGCTACAGGCGCCCCAAATTCTGCATGAAATAACCAACCAATTCCGCAACATACAATGCAAGATGTTTTTTTCTTTTGTTCCTCTTAGAGGTCGTCTGGGAGGTAGGTGATAGTACAATGATACAGCGAAGGTCAGAAAGGAGCAAAGCAACCATCTTAGGATTTCACTGGCGTGGAGATCTGCATGCTTGGTTAGTGACCAAATGATATTCAATCGTTGCTCATGAGTGACTTACGTAGGGCTGAAAGCCGGCGACGTCGGGCTGTAGCCAGGAGACGTTGGTCCTCCAGGTGACGTCGGCGAGCCGGCAAAGTTGGGAGATGTAGGAGAATACGTCTGGGGGCTCGTAGGAGACCACCCAGGCGAAGTAGGCGTGTACTTAGGTGAGGTAGGAGAAGTGGGTGACAGATGCCGGCCAACACCACCAACAGCAGGGCTTGTCGGGCTGTAGCTAGGCGAGGTTGGGCTAAAGGCCGGTGAAGCCGGGCTGAAACTGGGTGAAGTAGGACTGTAGTTCGGCGACGTCGGTGAGAACCCTGGCGAAGTTGGCGAGTACGATGGCGACGTGGGAGATGCCTGGCCATACGCAGGAGAGGTAGGAGAGTATGCTGGTGATGTCGGAGCAAATGACGGACTCGCTGGGGAGAACCCAGGAGACGTCGACATGAAACGAGGACTGGTGATAGCCATACCCGGTGACGTGGGAGAATAACTCGAAGTCGGGGAGTAGCCAGGCGACGTCGGGTTCGCGCTGAACGGACTGCTTGGGGAATAGCCAGCTGGGCTTGTAGCTGCCGGACTGAACCCGCCTCCAAAGCCGCCAGTAGGCTGGTATTCGGTGAAGCCACCAGGAGTCTCGGCACCGGCTTGGCGAATGGGAGAGAAGTTCGATTCGGGGTCGGGAGTGCCGATGTAAGCACTCTCCTGCATAGGCGAGCCCGTGTCATACTGAGTAGCAGCGCCGTCGGAGATGATGGCATCCTTGGCGCCGATCGCTCCCATAACACCGAAGCGAGCATTGTTCGACACGACAGTGTTCATGAGGTTCTGGTCAAGGTAGATATCGAACTCTCCGGTACCAGCAGGAGCCATCTGGCCCAAAATAAGGTTCTCAGAAACACCACGGCAATCGTCCAGCTCTCCGAAAGCGGCCGCTTCCAACAGAATCTCGACGGTTTCTTCGAACGAACAACGCATGAGTGCACCGTTATCAGCACGGTTGATACCGTGTCGAGTGACGGGTGTCAGGTAGCCTCGTACAGTCATGACATCGACCAGCAGCGCCAAATGGCGGTGGTTGACATAAGAACCGTCGAACGCAAGCACCTGGGTCAATTCGCGAAGAACAGCTGTCCGTGCGGCTTCGATACCAAACACCTCGAAAACCTCGATAAACTGGTTGGAGTACGTGCGAGTAGCATCGACACCGGGGATTGCCAGAACCTCACCCAAAGACGAGCCACTTGTTTCGAGAACCCACTCCTTGCAAAGCGGGTCGGTCTTGCTAGCGAACAATGATCCATCTTCCAGAACTCTGACCTTGCTCTTCTCGTTGATGAACGCCCGCTCGACGCCGGGAACACCACGGAGGGTAAGAGTGTCAAGGAGATGCTGCTCCAACTTCTTAAGCGTAACATCGTATTCAATGTCGTCATCCTCCTCGTCCTCCTTGTAATCCTGGACCTGACGGATACGGATGACCTGCTCATCGGCGTTGTTATCACTGAAGATGACAGCGATATCCTTGGGGTAGGCAGCCTTGATCCTAGAAGCGACATCCTGCACAGTGAGACCCTTATCCAGAAGCTTCGGCCGACTGAGGATAATACGGAGCAACCACTTGGACTGGCGCGACGCATCATCCGTGACATCTTCGGGAATGATGAAGTAGGACTCGACCATATCCCGATCGTTTTCGATGACCGTAGTCTGGATATCGGGATCGTAGTAGATCTCGGTTGCTTCCGTAACGGAACGCAAGCTTGTGTGTTCGACAGCGCTACGCAATTGTTTGGCACCCTCCTTGTCAAATGACCGAGCAGCTTCCTGGTAAACCGTCATAGAGGGCGTCTTGATGTTGGTAGCGACGTTTAGAATTTCCTTTAGACGAGGAACACCCAAGGTGACATTCTTGGACGAGACACCAGCAAAGTGGAAAGTGTTCAGTGTCATCTGCGTGGCAGGCTCACCAATGGACTGAGCAGCAAGCACACCAACCATTTCGCCAGGGTTGGCACCAGCCTTGGCGAATCGGCTCTCAATAGCTCCAATAACATGCTGGAATGCCAGCTTGTTCATGGAGTACTCCGTAACCAATCTGCGGAACGCGAGACGGCTGCGAAGCTGGGCCTTGAAAAGCAATGTCGCGTTTTCCTGAGCTTCACGCGAAATGATATCATTTCCGCGAACCACAAGCAAACGATCCAGCAGAGAACGCACTTGAGGGATGACCTCAGCGGGATGAAGATCGCTGATGGTACCCTCGCGGATCCTGAATGTAGTTCTGGCGGTTTCCAGAATACGCTGCACATTTATCGGAAGCTGCATCATCTCCTCGTCTTCCTTTGCTACAGAGCGAAGGAACGCACGATCCTTAAGAAGATCCTCCCATTCTTCATCCAGATGTCTCTGGACCTCGACATCACCTGCGATTTCGTTGGCCTGCTCCAGTACCTCTGGTCCTAGGGTGCGCTCAGGATCCATCAGATCGACACGGAAACGATCACGGAATTTGTCATCCGAGCACTTGATGATGTCCACCCGCTGGTTCTCGATATGAGCACCATCAAGACCATCTTCTCCGTAGATGAACTGGATGATATCACCCAAAGAGTTCCGAACAGTGCCATCATACTTGACCATAACTTCTTCAAGAGCCTTGACCAGCTTACGTTGGATGTAACCAGTTTCAGCGGTCTTGACAGCGGTATCAATCAAACCTTCTCTACCAGCCATAGCGTGGAAGAAGAACTCGGTGGGGGTCAAACCACGCAGATAAGAGTTTTCAACAAATCCACGGGATTCGGGAGAGTAATCGTCCTTGGTGAAGTGAGGCAAGGTACGGTACTTGAATCCGAAAGGAATACGCTTTCCTTCGACTGACTGTTGTCCGACCACAGCAGTCATCTGGGAGATGTTAATAGTCGAACCCTTAGAACCGGAACGCGCCATCTGGATGGCGTTGTTCAGATCCTTCAAACTCTTTTCGGTTTCGCTACCAGCCTCATCACGAGCGTTGTTCAAAGCACGAGACACCTTACTCTCGAAGGTCTCACGGACGTTCATACCGGGTAGAGGCTCGAGAGTGTTGTCAGTAGCACTTGCAGTAATCGACTCGACCTCCTTCTTTCTGTTGCGCACACAGTTCTCAATCCGCTGGATTGTAAGCTCATCGGGGATAGTGTCACCGATACCAATACTGAAACCGTGGTGCAGAAGCCAGTAGTTGACAATTCTCTGCGCACCATTGAAGAAAGCAACAGCCGTACCATGACCATACTCGTTAAAGATAGTATGGATGACACCACCACCGCTAGCACCAACAGTCTTCTTGGACAACATACCATACATCAGTTGACCGTTGTGGATAAGAAGACCACCGTCAGCCAGAGGCGAGAACTTCTCAGAAAGCGGCGAGTTATCCTTGTCCACACGCAGAAGGTTAAGACCAGAAGGAAGCGCCATACTGATCATCTGCTTTCCTGTCCAGCGAGGTCTAGGCTTCAGAATTGCCGGGGGAGGAATCACCCCATCCCAATCAGGAACCCACATCATGATGTTCATAACTTGATCCTTGGTCAAGAAGACATCACGCCGGCAAATCTTGTAAATACCACACAGCGTATCCTGCACGATACCCATGAGCGGGCCGTTTCGCTGGGGAGACACGATGTTCATGGGGACCAATGCCAGTTGACTCAATTCCGCGCGCGATTCCTCGCTCTGAGGGACGTGCAAGTTCATCTCATCACCATCGAAATCGGCGTTGTAAGGGGTAGTGACAGACAAATTCAACCGGAAAGTGGAATAGGGCATGACGCGAACACGGTGACCCATCATGGACTCTTTGTGCAGAGAGGGCTGTCGATTGAACAGAATGACATCGCCGTCCATGATGTGACGCTCAACCTTCCATCCGTACAACAACTGTTGACCACCTGCTCTCTTGGCATGACGAAGATCAATGCGCTCGCCATTGTCTCGGACAATATACCGAGCACCCGGGTGTTCGTTCGGACCGTTCGAGACCAGAGTCTGCAATTTCTCGATGTTGTAGGGTGTGACAACCTCGGGATAAGTCAAGGTTCTCGCGATACTCTTCGGAACACCGACCTCCTCAAGAGACAAGTTGGGGTCACCAGTAATGACAGTACGTGCAGAGAAATCCACACGCTTACCCATCAAGTTCTGTCGTAAACGACCCTCCTTACCCTTCAAACGACTCCGAATAGCCTTGACTGGGCGATTCGACTTCTGCATGGCCTTCGGCTGACCAGCGATATCGTTGTCCATATAAGTGGCGACATGGTACTGCAAGAGCGACTCGAACTCGCGCACGACGTGCTCTGGGGCGCCTTCCTGCTCACAGCGTTGAACATTCTGGTTGGCTCTGACAATTTCAGCCAGCTTATATGTCAGATCATCCTCACCACGCTGGCCGCTGGTGCTGCCGCCGACAAGCACACTGGGACGAACAGGAGGAGGGGGAACCGGCAAGACGGTGATGATCATCCACTCAGGACGGGCATAGTCATTGCTCAAACCCATGATACGAACGTCCTCGTAAGAGATGTTACGGAAAACGTTCAACGCAACCTGCGGGGTGATAACCTTCTTCTCAGGTTGCTGCATGTCCATCTCGTCCATCATCTTATTTGGCTTCCACGTTCCAACAAGAGTGATACCTTCCTTACGAATCTGAGGTTGGGCATTACCGCAACCACCGTGCATCCGAACGGGTTTGGAGTTCTCTTTCGAGAAGGGCTCGTCATCGTCCGGGGGAGGGTCGGCTTCGCAGATAAGGACGTCTTTGGACAGTCGCCAGATGTGGTCGAATCGTCTCTTGGGGTCTCGCATGCGCAGGGCTTCTAAAAACTTGGGGTCGGACTGGTTTCATGTCAGCAAATATGCCGTGATAGATTTGCCATCCCATAAGGGATGACTAACCGTATTGGCTTTGATCTTGCCACAGTTGTGGCAGACCGTCTCAAGCAGCTTCTTGATCTTAGTCAAGAAACCTGGAGCAAATGTTAGCAAGCGTACAATATGAGACTAAAATCCCCTGGCTGGCCGACAACATACCAATATGATAAACCGGTGTGGCAAGCTCAATATGTCCGAAATGACCAGGACACTCCTTCTGGCCTTCCTCACAAGTTTCACAGTTCCATTGCCGATCGATTGTTCCCAAGCGTGGATCGTTCAAACCCTTTGTGCGCGGCCGTTGCCGTTGATCATCCTGTTTGTTGTGTTACCGCGTTAGCGTTTTGCCACGTTCAGTCGGTGTGGGCGGCACTTGAGGAAAAACAAACCATCGTCTCCGGATATTCAACATGGACCACACTCATCCGCTTGATCTCCTCGGGTGAGAACAAACCAAACTGGATCTCCTTGATGGTGCGCAGAGGCGCCTTGGAGTAGGGAAAGTACACGTTCGCCATGATGGTGGTTGGTGTCGTCGGTTGATCGTTCTCCGAGGGTATGCGATGATGACGGAGTCGAAATATGACCGAGCAAGACAGAAACTGACGTGTCGGAAGCACTGATCTATAGACAGTCTAAATGGGCTGAAGCGATGATGCAAATGTTTGCGAGCAAACTGGCCGGCCTAGGCCTCTGGCAGCCCTTGCCACGAGGGCGCCTGCGACCTTATCCACCGACTGCGCGAAGCTCGAAAAGGGCGGGAAAAAAGAGGGTCACGGTCGATCTTGGCGATATCTCCAGCTCGGAAAGTGATATCGCGATGCAAAGCGCGATGGTCGGGGTTGTTGGGCGATGGACAGGAGGCGTGTTGAGGTGATGAAAGGGAGACGGTTGGACGTCAGGTCAGTCGGCGATGGGGCAACGAGTTTTCTGAGCCGCAAGCTAGCGCGACCATCCGGCCCTTTAAAAGTCCGCAACGCTAAGCCCATAGTGGGGCAAATGTGAGGTGGCAGTAAACTCTCCGCCACTCAGAGTGCAGTTACAGACCAATGATTGGGGAAGGCCATTGACAAATTTATGTGACCTCTTCACCGCCCGCTTGTCGCTTTATTTCCCCTTCGGCTTCAATTCACTTTGCCAGCCGGTATTTCCCATTCCCCGCCCGGCTTTATTTCATTAAATCTGTGGCTATTGACTACACTGGATGTTTGCGCCCGAGCGAACCTCCCGGCCTTCTTCGCAGGCTGGGAACTTACCGCCTCTTTTGTCGTTTGACTTGCTGGCTTTGACTTGACGCTTGCCGAACCATTCTGTGTGAATCTAGCATCATGAATTTGTCTCTTGTTGATCCCTTTGTCCTAGCTCAGGATTATCCAGACACGTTGACGGAGAAGCTGAGTATGTGGCACTTCATCAAGCTTCTACGGTGTGATCACTAATCCAATATCAGGAAGTGGACATGCGACTTGTCTACGGTTTAATCGCAAAGGAGACTATCTGGCGTCTGGACGGGTTGGTTGCCAACAACATGCGGGGATTGCTTCAAGATCAAATCAATAACCGTGTCCCAGGTTGATGGAACAGTAGTCATTTTTGATGTGGAAACCAACGGGGTTGCGCGAAAGCTACGAGGTCATACCAGGCAAATTCAGTCATTAAGGTAGCTCATTCACACACACACCCTCGGCGCAATCCGCCATACGCACATTGATGCTAACTACAATCGGTGTACAGTTGGTCAAGAGACGGCCGTTATCTTCTGAGTTCTTCTCAGGACTGGAAATGTATTTTATGGGATTTGAAAGATGGCTCCCGGGTCCGCACCGTCCGCTTCGAAGCACCCGTTTATATCGCAGAACTACACCCTTATAACCAGTATGACAGCCCTTCTATTGCTTAGCAGCTAGCACATTGCTGACGCGCCCCTCCTGCAGCTTGCTCTTTGTAGCGTCTCTTTTCGAAGATCAGCCTGTCCTCGTGGATGTTTCGTTACCCAAGCCCGTCAAGCGCATCCTTCCATCCGCTCCATTTCGCCCTCCGCCTCCAAAGAACGAAGAAATCGACCCCGCCGTTGCTGCGAAACAAGCAGCTCAAGATGCGAAACATTCCACGTGCGTTACGATCTTCACTGCTCTAGGAAACCATATTATAGCGGGTACATCTAAGGGTTGGATCAATATTATTGAGACACAAACCTGTACCACAATACATTCCACTCGGCTCTGCAATGGTGTGGTGATCTTACTTCGCCTAGCGAGTAACGGTCGGGATCTACTAGTCAACAGCTCTGATCGCGTTATACGCACAATACTCATGCCGGATCTCTCGCAACTGGGTATCGATCTGGAGCCTACCAACATCAAACTCCAAGTGGAACATAAGTTCCAAGATGTGGTGAACCGTTTGAGTTGGAACCATGTAGCATTTTCTTCCACCGGGGAGTTTGTTACTGCGTCCACATTCATGAACCCTGACATTTATGTTTGGGAGCGGAGCCACGGCTCCCTGGTCAAGATTTTGGAAGGCCCCCGCGAAGAACTAGGAGTGGTTGAGTGGCACCCTAGCCGTCCGATGGTGGTTGCCTGTGGCTTAGAATCTGGATGCATCTATACTTGGTCGATTGTGACGCCTCAGAAATGGTCAGCCCTGGCCCCTGACTTCGGTGAGGTCGAAGAGAACGTCGAGTATGTTGAGCGTGAAGATGAATTCGATATCCACCCGGCAGAGGAAATTCACCAGCGCCGTTTAGACCAGGAAGACGAAGTCCCCGACGTTCTCACAATCGAAGTAAACAAAGACGGCGCGGATGAGGATAGTGTTACCTCATTTCGCATGCCAGTCCTTCTTGATATTTCGGACAGTGAAAGCGAGGATGATATCATCGCGGTTGGACCCGGGACGATGAGGAGACGTAGTCCAGGCACAGCGCGAGACCGAACGAATGCCAACGGGGATGGGGAGAAGGACAGTGTAAGTGGCGGTAGAAACGGCAGCACACGAGGTCAGAAGGGTCGGCGGCGCTAAGTTGTACTTGTGGCTAACACACTGCGTTTTCTCACTGTTATGAGTGTTGCTTCTGTCTTACTTTGCGAGTCATCTATTGGGTCATATGTCAGTTAGAGGGTTCTTGGCGTCTGGTAGGCTGTCTCAAGGGACATGACATACTCTTCGATATACTTACGGTACATGATCGGTGGAGTTTCGGTGGGAGAGAAAAATGTTCAATAGAACCCATTCGAAGGGCTTTGCGTTATTTTTTAGGCCCTCCGTTTCGCTTCTTTTTCATCTAGTCCATTAAGAAGTACCAAATCAAAGGTGGCTTTCTCACAGGACCGCCATGGTCATTGGAGTTTGTTGGGTCATAATTGAGTGGCTGGTGTTGAGAGGCCTCAGGGGGTCCGTCACCACGAGCACTCAGTCAACTGCCACGATGGTGCCATTACCGCAGAGCAGTCAGCCTTGGTTGCAGATGTTTCCAAGAAATACAACATGAGGATGAGTTGCTCTTGGATTCTGGCAAAGCTGATACTCTAGAGTCGTCGTGTCACTTCCGTGAGTCCCGACACCGGCATCTCATCCTCTTGAAGAGCTTAAATATTTCCTCAACTCGAGCAGTATTTCCTGAGACGGCAATCATCCTCATAGTGTGCATGACGATATACGTCGTGTCCGCAAGATCCTTGTGCCGTTCGGCTGTCTGCACTAGAGTAGGCAAAAATACAACGAAGATAGGCCTGCCTGCGTTCCTGGCATTCGTGCGTCAAAAAAGCAGTGTTGGTCACGAGTTCAAGTCCATGAGTTGTTTTGTGGACTCTGCTCGCTCTGGTGTATATGCAATTCAGTATGATCCCGTCAAGGAGACGGGATCGGTCGTCACTTATTCTCATCGAGGAAAAAGGGAATAGAAAAAAGAAGTAAACAGATAGGAGGACCCTCCCACAAAAGGCTGTATATGGGTATCCGAAATGAAATTTGCATTACAGCCGGCGCTGCCGTAATTATTTCAGCATTTTCAAAGGGACGGGCCGCCCGGCTTCCGTGCCTGGTATATGTGTAAGATATTGTAAGCGTGGATTTCCTTGTTGAAGGCCTGTGACTTGACCTCCGCCGTGATTTGTCTAATTCTCTCCAGGTCCCAGTGAAAGATGCGACTGAAAGGGGCGAGGCTGAGCGTCTCGATACTTTCAGAGATTGCAAGGTTATACCAACGGGCTACCTTCTTCTCATGTTCATCATGGTGCCAAGGGTTGAGAGGCAACCCCACCATCTGATGGTCGATTTGAGTAAATCCTGCCTCCTCAAGATGTCTGATGGTATCCCGGGAGCTGTGCGCTATGGGCCTCATAGTATCTTGTGTCGCCTGCTTCAGGTACTGGTACCATTCCCGGAGTGCCAGTCCATCCAGGGAGCGATCATCGCAGCGGGGTTCGAAATCTATTTCCACTTGTTCAAACCATGCCCCAGGCTGAAGATGCCTTAAGATTCGCTTGTAGAGATTCGGCCAGCCCAGAACACTGCCGGAACCCATCTGCAGGTGGATTAGATCCCAAGAATTCTCCCCAAGTGTCCATGGCGCCTCAAAGTCAAAAGGCGCATAGAACTCGCAGTTGTCAGGGTGGTTGGGAGGCTGTATAGGTGCTAGATCTACCCCAGCCACGAAAGCATTGGGATACTTATGGGCCACGTCAATGGCCCAGATCCCAGTGCCGCATCCCAGATCTAGGAATCTACCGTTTGGGGGGTGAGGTGCGTAAATTAAGCTCTCGGACACCCGTGCTACCGTGAACAGCTTATGGAAGATATCGAGACGGTCCTGCTCCTCTTCATCACATGGCAGCGGGTAAACTCCTCTGCGATAACCATGATATGTTCTCCCATTTTCTTCATAGAAGAGCCATCTGTTTGGAGGCCTAAATTAAACAAACAACAGAAGGAGAAGATCCCTGAATTAGTCGCCCGATAGTTGTAGAATACTAGCGATTTTGCACAGCACGAGGAATAGGGATTTTGCGGGGTGTGTGGGGTGCACAGTATGGGAAAGGGTGAAGTACCTGGTATAACGGCTTGTCTGATCTGGACCCCCATGACCATCATACGGATCATCGTTGGGTGGGGGTTCTCGAGGAGGTTCTTGACCTGTGAGGACGTGAATGTCCATGGCCCCCGAGTTCTGCCTGGAACGGCCGGAATCATAAGATCCTAACCCTTGGTAGCTGTAGTTATTGCGATTCGGCGAAGCCATGGTGATTGGTGGGTGCAAAACTCGTCCGATTTCAAACATGAGACCCAGAAGTCCAGGAACCGGTTCACTAAGAAAGAATCCGACTTTTCCTGCTCAAGATATGGTAAGGACACAGGGGTGCGTTCAATCAAAGACCTGCGTTCTTGGTTGACGGTAACGTAAAACGCCAATGTTAGCCAACAGGGTGTATGCAGGCTGTGGGTGATATCGGGGTATCGAAAGTCAGGTGGCACATAGAGGAAGTTGGAGTTCGGCGCCGCAAATGAGCCAATGATTGGATTGAAAGGTTGGATGGACGAAAGGGTGGCAACAATAACAAACTCGCTGAAGATACCCTCTGCGGAAACAAACAGTGGCCGATGAAGGGAATTAGAGGAGTGGAATAAAGAGGGGAGTGGAAAGCCGCAGAGCAAAAAGCCAAGGCAAGTAAGAATGATCCAAGTCCACAATCGTGTATTTTACCCCGAAGCTTGGAAATATGTATGAGAGCAAAGATGCACGCACACCCGTGCGCGCACACACACACACACACACAGTCGCACAGTGGAGAAGAGTATCCCCAAATCTCGGCCGAGGCACAAGGAGGAATGAGGATACTAAATAGGAAAAGGGAAAAGAAAAAAAGTCTCCTCCCCGCAAGGACAGGATACCTTCGGGGGAAGAGAACAAAAGAGAAAGTAGCGGTCACGGCAGCGGCATAGGCGAGAAAATAAAAATAATAAATAGTATCGATAACAACAAGTAGGTGTCAGGCGTTACGAGGAGAGAAGCGACTAAAAGAACAACCATGGATCGGGAGAGGGACGATCGAGAGTTAGGTCAATTGGACTGGATCATCGGATCAGAAAGGGAAAATCCGATCCCGGAAGTAAGAGTCCATTTAGACGGCGGAGAGGAAGGGGAGGGGAGGAGGAATACAGTAGAGGGCAAAGGAGAAAAGGCAAAAAGCAAAGCAACCCTGCCTTTAAGGTTGTTGCAGCCGCTGTCTTGACCCCGTTGGGCCCACGGGCGCGAAGGCGGGGCGGTTAGAGGGCCTGGGAAAAAGGGCTGGAATGGTGGGAAACGCAGGGGAGACAGACAGACAGACAGACAGACAGTGAGAGGCAGTGAGTAAGTAAGTGAGTAAGTAAGTGAGTAAGTAAGTGAGTGAGCGAGTGAGTGAGTGAGTGGACCAAGAGCAAAAGAGAGATTGGGTTGGGGGAAAGAAATCAGGGCAAGCAGTAAGAAAGGTAAACAATCTGGCGGCTAGCTAGACTGGCTTGGATTTGTGTTTGAACTACTGCCAGTTATGAGACGTGGAGGTTCCAGAGTTTAGTGGTTTGTTGTAGATGGCATCTCTGCTGCTGCTGCTGCTGCTGCGAGTCAGGATGTGGTCGAGTACCGACATGGGTTCAGGATGCGTCGGGGGATGGTGGGAAATGCGCCTGGCTATCGATCTGGCGCCTTCCGAGCATCATTGGTTCTCTCCGGAAGTAGAGCCCCTCCGGCAACCATGGAACATGGCTTCCTTAGCACCTCTGGGCAGCTACACGCGGATCACTAAGGTCCTGACTTGTCTCTGGCTCTCTCTGCTGTGAGGGTCTTTTCTTCTCCAACTGACGTCCGGAACCTGGATCAATAATCCGGTATTGATCCGCTACTGCCATGTTTACAGTCCCTCGTGCCCTATCAATCAATCAATCAATCAATCAATTCCATCAAACTATCTCCTCCCTTAGCGACAAATAAAAATAAAATTAAACGTTTGGATAGCGCTTCACTGCCTCCTCAGGGCGACACGTCCAACGTCTGTGTGCCTGCTGTCTGGTACCGATCCCAGGGTGGATGCACGATGTACTAGGTATGTATGGATGGTACATGTTGACTAGCTTGCTAACTAACTCACTACTACCACAACATACAGACGCACTAACTAGGGAGTCTGGCTAGTGTTCCCAGGTGTTACCAGGTGGTGCACCCGGACCTACATACTACATGCTATATCCACAGGGGATAATCCTGGGCACATAGGCTGTCGGTATATCATACGCACAAAATACATACAGCTTGTATCCACCACGAGTTCGAAGCAGGTAAGTAGCTTAGCGTCTTCCCAATTGGTTTTTGTTTGTCTACTATCCTTTTTTTTTTTTTTTTTTTTTTTCTATTTCCCCTTTTGTTGTTCTTTTTCTTCCTTTTTCTTTTTCTTTTTTTTATTTTTATTTTTTTTTCTTCCCTCTTTTTATTTCCTCTTTTGTTCTCGTCTCCCTTTTTGGCCTCTACTTAGTATTTCCGATCTTTTGATTTCTCCCTTTTCCGGTTTTTCTTTTCCATATGCTTTTCCCCTTTCGGGCAGAATTGGATTTCTTTATATCGGTATCCTTCTCTAGTCTACCACTTCTTCTCTATCCTTAGCATTTCCCTCCCTTTCCCTTCGCTTCCAAAAAGCCAAGAGGCACAGCATGGATACCTAACTTCGGGTCGCCAAAAACCAGTTCTCACCCAGATTGATAACTTTGGGTCAGTTCGAGGCTGGCGGTAAATGATTGGTGTTGAAGATGTCGCTGGTATTCCGCCCTTCTAGTACGACACCCTGCCTCCCAACCGGTACCAAAGAAGATTCAACCCTTCGTTCTTTTTTTTTTTGCCTGAGGCTCTGATACGAGTTCCCATTGCCTCGGTTCGCGGCTTGTATGTATCCGTCTTACCAGTAACAAGACGAGCAAGAAAATAACGGTGATCACAATAATGGGGGATCATCCGGACATACAGTGAATGTGAGGGTGTACCAAAAGGGAAATAAAATCACAGAGAAAATTGAGGGAAAAGAGAAGAAAAAATCCTGGGCAAGAAAACTCCACCAAAAACCATCTTGTCTAATGGCTTAGAGTAGGTTAGGGCAGGATCAGTTTGCCCGACGCTATAAAACGGAGGTTTGTGAGGGGGGAAAGAATAATGAACCAAAGAGATTGAAACGAGCCAGGATCGAGGGAAGACAGCAACCATGGATGGGTCCTCAATCAAATTTAGCCCAAGTGACTTCCGGGCGGGATGCGGACCGTCTCCCACACTTAGTTGAATAAAGGAAAGTTTCCTCGGGGGAGCCACTAACGCACAATATCTCCGTGGGCCTAGCGGTCGCTGCCCGCATTCTCAGGCATGCAAGCGTCAGGCAGCGTTACCAACACTCTGGTTGAAGGATTTGAAGCTTCGGACGTGCTTCCCTTTCAACCCTCGCCCGTAGCGCCCGCAGCGCCCACCACAGGCAAACCAAAATCCGTTCCAACCCTCCATCGTTCAGGGTCACTAAACCCACGGCATTGCGTGCAGCCGCTCCGGAGTGGATCAATTTGCTGAGGGCGCTCCGTATCTGTCTCTCGTAGCGCTAGATACATTGTATCTCACTGGCTAGAGAGACAAGAGACTCAGACTCCTTACACGCACGCTGGTCGTTGGTTCCACTCAGGCTCCATCCTGGACGACTACTAACTAGTAGCCCGTGGCTGTGGGCATGGACATCATGAGTTCTGGTCCTATTAAGTATTGGACAAGACTTTCCAGGAAAGCCAGGAAAGGATCATGATCGGAGATTATCATGATACTCATCACATCATGACCTCGTTGCGGGTGATCAGGAATAAGTCCTCAAGTGGGGGGGGGGGCATGTTGGGAGGAAGGAAAGCCCACTCCTTCTCGACACCTCCAACAGACAAGAAAAAGAAAGTTTTACTCTGTACTACCTCAATTACTCTCGGGATTCTTTGAAGTGTTCCTCAGCCGTACTATCTATCATACCCACCACTTGGAAGATTAGTAAAAGTATGGGAGGCTGGCTGGGAGGGGGCTACGTTACATCCAGCTATTCCTGGACGGGCTGCACCATGGAACTCAATATATCGGGACAACATGCTGGATCAGCGTTGGGAGCTGAGGCCTGTGATTCATCCCGAACGGTTGGACAAACAATATGTTAGGGGAGAGGGGGTGTGGAGGTCAAACAAAATAAGAATAATAAAAAAAAAGAAAAAAAATATAAAAAGAGGAAAGCCAGAAGAAGGCTAAATTCAAAACCGAATAAAAGATCCAAGGCTCTCTCTCTGTCTGCCTCTCTCTTTCTCCCTCTCTCCCAATAAAAAAGCAAAAATTAAAGAGGAAAAGAGAGCGCAAGAAAAAAGAACTGGGCAGGTGGCGGAGGGATGGACGGTCAGCGCCGTGAGCCGGGCACACTATGTGCTTAGGTCGACGCATGTAGTATGTACTCCGTATGCAAGTTGTCCCTCCTGTACTCCATACATACATCGTACATGTGTCCTTCCAATCCATCCCATGGTCACCCGCCCGCTTGGCGCCCGAACCAGCCTGGCGTTTGGCCTAAGGGAACAGCAGTTGCCTTAATGTAGGAATCTCATGTTGATCGTTTCACCGCTTCCCAGACTCTCGGGTCGATGGTGATGATGCATGCATCATCCTTCTATGCGTTGTACTTGGTGCCTGGTCAAACCGGCTGTTCTCACTTGCTCGGCCTGCATACACCGGAGACTTGGGATTTCCCCTTCCCCTCTCTCTCTCCCTCTCTTTCCTCTCTCTCCTCTCTCCCTTCACACACAGTAATCACACGCACTGACGACTGGTTCTCGGTTCTTCTTACCTCTACTAGTCTTTCAATTTATCTACTTGATGGCTGTGAGCCATACAAGTCATGCCTTTTTATTTCATTGTTTTTTTTTTTTACTGCATGTGGTACAGATGTGTATCAAGTCATTCATTACTGGATGCGTCCAGAAGATAGGCACTTTTTTTGACGCTTGCTCCTCCGCGCTACTAGTACCTTCCTTAATGGCCACTTCACTTTCCCATTGTTCGTTGACAAGTCAACCTCTTACCCCCGACTTGAGTTCCACGAATCTCTGCAGACCAACATTGCTGCAAGCCTCGCATTTATTTACCTTAAACGACACAATTTAATAACCAAGGGTTGATTTGGGAAGGAAGGAAGGGAGATAGTGAGAGCTCTGGTTGTGTCTTCCCGGCTATCTCCTTCCTTTGGGGAACCATCACGGGGCACGTACTATACTAGCTGGCTTAGTACTTCAGGCCCCCCTCTCATAATCCAACTAGATGGTTGGCAGCAATTACCGACCAAGAAATTTGCCCCATCGAGGTTTAACTCGATTATGCAGTTCTGGGTTAATTACACGACCAGCAAGTTGATAGCCCCGATAGTTAGATGCGCACTCACTGCAGAACTATACCTACCCTTCACCTCTACAGACTTACGGTGTTGGTTTCTAAAGCAAAAGTCCCCTGCTTGCTCCGACTTCAGAATGGAGTCGTCGTGGCATCATCCACCGTCGACGCCCGGCCCGGTTTCCAATGTTCCCCATCGGAAATATCAACCCATACGACTGCTGCCCCATGATTTGCCCAACCGTCTGGCCTTCGGAGTCGGCCGTTGGCCGTCAACAATCGACCTTCCTTTCGGGGATGATGTTGGGACCAGTTGCGGTCTGTTCATTATAACATAAGCCGATTTCTGGTGCCGTGCATTGCAAAGCTCTCGGTCTGTTGTGGCTGTTTTTTCGAAATCCGGTGACTATATTATACCTACTATTATGTAGGGGGGGGTGTTCAGCTAACGCAGTTACCGTCCTATTTCTTGCATTCGTGTTTGCCTTGCGGAACGTGTCCGTCTATCATTAAATACAGCTACTTTTACCGTTACGGTTCCCGTCCAATCAGCGAGGCATAGCTTGACATACAAAGGAGCCCCGATTATGAGGCTCACCATTGAACCTTATACAGACAAGGGTAGCTGAGTACTTACCTACAAAAAATCACATGGTATCTACGACTGGAGACTTTTAGTTACTAATGGCTACCGCCAGCCACAGCCACAAATTGATCCGCGTCCGGTCAGGCAAAACGGCAATGAGGCTTGAGGTATTATTAACAACGAATCTCCGAGTAGACTGTGAGTGATTTTCATTCAGAAAAATTCTTAGCGGGCACGGTCCTCATCGCGCTCTCTAAGATGGTCTTGCACACTGAGTGGAGACTAAATGGCCGTGTCCATAAGTACTTAAATCGGCGTTTTATACAGCAAGGCGGGCGGTGCATGCCGCCTTCATAGCCTAGAACGATGAACTAGCGAACGGTGACAGGCAGAGTGGAGACTCTTCCATCTGAAGAAATCACCCCTTTCTAGGGAGGAATTCTGCATGTCTTACCGCTCTAGGTAGGTAGATAGACCGCGTCGTGGAGGCTTCCTTATATGTTTATTTTTCTTTGATAAATGCAACATCTATAGCTTATTAATACGGTTCATAGCTAGCTAGGCGCAATCAACCCATAGTGGAGTTAGTCGAGATGTCATTAGAACAAAGAAACTATATACTAGTAGTACAAATTAGAGACGAATTAATAGTAGCATCACTGTCGACATGCATCGATTGCTATAATCCAGCAACTATCCTAGCATTCGTCCAGCTTTTTGTTCTTGATATCATTGCTGCATAGCAGTTCTTATAAATTAGCGAACTTGTGCGTGTCCTAGCATACGTGTCGCTGGTTAATTTTAGTTGTGGTATCATGATCAGAAAATAAAGTTGACCTGAATATTTATATTCCATACTACCACACGGGTATACCTAACACCATGTACAAACACCGACATCGCTATAGCATGCATAATCCCCCAATCTAGACCACTCACTAATCACTTACCAATAACTTCATAGCGACCAATATTATACCCCATAATAGTATTTGTATAGTTGCTAGTCAAAGAGAGGAAGGAGACCGCGCGACCAGCACAGCATAGTCAGTCCATTACATTCCATACCAAACTTCTCCTAATAATGCTTCCTACTACTATTTCCCGTTAACAGGGATCATGATATCGTACCGGCAAATGAATAAATAAAAATATATATGCATATTACCTACTACCACTATGCACAAAACCCACACACAAAACTTTACCAACCTAAATTTAAACCATAGATAAACATATAAAAATATGAAAAAAAAAGAAAAACAAAAATAGTCGCGCCCGGGATCGAACCGGGAACCTTCTCGGAACCTCATCAGATAATATATGACGATGTGAACGAGAAATCATAACCATTAGACCACGCGACTGTGATTTAAAGTTTGAAAAATATTACTCTATATTCGCAAAAGAAAAGACTCAACTGGGACCGACCGGTTAGTTATCTTATCGCGCGGAGTTTTTGCAAACCAGCGAGCGGGCTTGGTGGTGGTTTGGATTAGATAGTAGTTAGATTTTTTTTCAAATCACCCTGTCCTTCCTACACGACCATCTGTCTCTATCTATCTATCTATCTATCCCTTCGCGGTCGTCGCATTTCTTTGCTTGTGTGTGTTGGGGGTTATTTTACATAGCGGTTTTCTTCTTTCTTTTTTTTTTCTTTTCCTTCTAATTCGCATACGCACGCGCCGTTTGCAATCCCACCGATCGATTGATCCATCCGTCGAGAATCAGTCGCATTCAACGAACGACCTACCTACCAACCAACCTACCGACGTTACTACTTCCGAACCAATCCACCTCCCATCACAAAGAAAAATAAATGGACGCCCAAGCCTACCTCCTCCGCCACGGCTGGTCCGGACCCGGCAACCCACTGAACCCGAACCGACGGCCCGGCACACACGGCGGACTCGGACTGACGAGACCGATTCTCGTTGCGCGACGCCAAGGCAATCAAGGCGTGGGAAAGAAGACGACCAAGGATCCCACAAATCAGTGGTGGTTGCGGGGGTTCGAGGACGCGCTGAAGGGCGTGGGCGATGAGAATAAGAGTGCGGGGGATGCGAAGCGCACGCCGAATGCGTTGACGAGTGAACTGTATCGGTATTTTGTGAGGGGGGAGACGGTTCCGGGAACTTTGGGGGATAAGAAGAGGAAGGCTGAGGATGAGAATGAGGATGATGATGATGGGAAGAAGAAGAAGAAGAAGAAGAGCAAGGGAGAGGAGAGTAAGGAGGAGAGACGGGTGAGGAGGGAGGAAAAGAGGAAGAGGAAGGAGGAGAGGGCGAAGAGGAGAGAGGAGAGGAAGATGAAGAGGGAGGAGAAGGAGGTTAGGAGGGCGGAGAGGGAGAAGAAGAGGGCGGTTAAGAAGATGAAGAAGGAGAAGAAGGAGAAGGCTGGTCCTGAGGATGAGTATCCTACGCCGCCGGCGACGGAGGTGGAACAGACGGAGTCGAGTGGGAGGGATGAAGAAGAGGTGAAGAAGGACAAGAGGGAGAAGAAGAAGACGAAGCGAGAGACGTCTGCGTCGGATGACGGGTCGAAGAAAAAGAAGTCGAAAAAGTCCAAGGATGAGACGGCGTCCTCGAATTGAATGTGGATGAATGGGATAGAGGGATGCTCTTTGGCAGTTTATAGATAGATTCGACTTATAGATACCCATGGCTGTGCTACTTGGTTGTATATTCTCACGAACAATATTTGCATTTTCATTATTATGCTACTTATCGTCATATCATCATCATGCTACTTCCTTGGCTTCTGTAGGCAGCTTTCCGGGCTTGCCGGAAAGAATCCATGGCCGTCTCTCCCAGAATTCGTCCTTGATGATGTCGACATGGTCGACTACGACCTGCACTTTGCGACGCAGTTTGCGGATCTTTTCTTGCTGTGTCTTGGAGGGCGTGTCCTCCTGCAATGGTGATGTTTCTTCCTGCACGATGGAGTCTGATTTTCCCTCTAGTTGATACTGTACCTTGTTCAGTAGCCACACAGACGAAGCAGCAGAGACACACATACCTGGCGATATAAGACGCTGCCCTTCTTATAGATCTCTTCTTCATTGTTATAATTGATGCCGAACCTCTTGAAGAGGATCTCATTCTTGTCGGAAGACAGGGTGCCCTAGTCGACACTGTTAGCAGCAGTAGCAAACTTTGAGCACCAGAAACTCACCTTCAATTCAAGTTCAGCTTCTCTTCTATCCATCCCACCTTGCAGGACCATGGACCAGAAAGTCGTATTGTAAAGGTTATTGATATGACCTACAGCATATTAGCACACGACGAATGGAAACTGCGAGTAGACAAAACTCACAATCCACCTGCCGCCAGCTCATATAATCCCTGAAAATTCTGGAATTCGGATACATCACTGCTCTTCCATCGAACGAAGGCAGAGCTGCTGGCTGCAGCGGCGTATCTGGGAAATACGTCCCCCATAGATAGATGTAATGCGCCGTGAAAGTTGACACAATTGTCGTTACTAGTTTGCTGTTTTCCAAGCAGAATAAGTCCATACTGCTAGTGGACATAAAATATTGCGCACGGAAAGAAGAAAAACTTACGCACTCCGCCGCTCAAATAATTGGCAGTTGGGATGAAAAGCGAAACTAATCTTAAGTCAAAATCACCCCATTTGACCCGGAGCATGTCGCATCGCATACCTGTACTCATCGCTAATACCGTAGGCGATGCAAAGATCAGGAAGGTCTTTCATGACGCCGACGGCTGCGGCATTCATTAGGTCTAGGGCCCGACGGTCGTTGGGCTTTATGAAGCCATAATAATCAGAGAGTCTACATTCCGTCAGTTGGCGACATGTAAACAGCCAGCTCTTAATATAAGGAGTTATTTCAGCTGCTCAGAGCAGTTTCGAAAAGCGCAGCATTATGTTGAAGCCTTGAGAGGGAGATGCACTGACTTGTGGAAGCCTCTGCCATCGATCCGGACCACAATCCATGTATTGGGAAGTAGAACGTCCGGTTGCTCGAATGACTTGACATATTCATATCTGTGGCGGTTAGCAGCTGCTCTTAAACTTTACTTAATATATAGGGAACTTACTTGGAATTTGCCATCTTGCTTTAGATTGCAGTATTCGGGACTGCCGATGATTGTTGTGCAGGAAAAGCCGTCGGGCTGGCGAGGGAGGATAAATCATGAAGATTTGGGTGGGGATGAGGGACGAACCGAACCGTCCCTCCACGGCCAGCGTTGCGCTGCTTTGCACCAATTGCTCTTAGCATCTCTGGTTGGTATAAACTACTTTGACGACAATGCTTTCGACTAGAGCTTTCGCCTTCTGATTACTACAGTAAATTGCAGGTATACAGAAAAGTGGATCATATCAAGAGGATAAGAAAGGCATGCTATGTGCCACAAAATGACTTCTACCGTCACTAGCTAAGAAATTGAAAGAATGCCTAACGCCACACGGCGACCTAAAAAAAATGAAATAGAAAGAATGGATGTTGCATGTTCATGCGTGGATCTCCTCCGCTGCCTCTTCATCCTCCGCCTCGCTAACATGCTCACTGGGGCGCTCACTCGTCTCACTGGCGGCCTTATCGGACTTCCTGGACATGCGGCTGAAGAACCCCAGGCTGCTGCGAGTTGATCGGTCTGCCGAAGGGGCGCTGGACACGGTGCTGTCCACACTCTTGGCAAGCATCGCCTCGCTATGTGCGTCTTCGTCAATGTCGCCTTGCGAAGGGTCACCCTTCTTGGAGAAAAGCCCTGACCGGTCCTTCCAAGAACTGAACTTGCTGGAGCTGCCCTTTCGGGTGATCTTACGAATGAATGACTCTTTCGAGCTTCCATTATCCAGCGAGCCTGCGGAGGGCATACGTTCCAAGGATTCATACGAGTCGCCTGTGTACATAGAGAAAGAGCGAGAATCCCGCGAGGTGCGCGATTCAGACGGAGAGCCTTCTTCCATGTGGAAGTCAAATGGAGCATCTAGCTCTCGGTCTTTCGCTGCCTCCTTCTCTTTGCTCTTGTCCGACCGCTTCCCAAAGATGGTCCTAAAGGAAGGTGCAGCAGGATTCAATTTTGGAGTGACTGGCCGATGAGAAGATGATGGCCGTGTACCGATCGGCGCCTGCAATGGCCGGCCTTGTCTCTCGAACGAATCTTGGAGAAAGTCTGGCTCCCCAGTAAGGCCCAAAGGTAGGTGACCCGATGAGCCATACTGTGTAGATGGCCGGCGCGACTGCACCCGAGACCAGGTCGATGGGGAAGTCCAATCAAACCCCAAAGGACTTCGATGGCCTTGCTTTTCTGCCGATGGCCAACCGAAGTGACGATTATCGGTGGAGGGATGAGGAAGCTGATTTTCGAAAGAGAAGGTCGATGAGGGCCGCGGAGACAACGACTCCCGGCGCACTGTGCCCAAGATGGAGGAAGGATCGATGGGGTCATGACGAGGACTGAATTGGTTGTATCCTGTGCTATGATCGGAGGTTTCACTGGATTTGAGCAGACCGTGTCCACTGCCGAATCCAAATCGGCTGGGTGAGAAGATGCTGGAAATGCCTGCGCGTCGCGAGGGAAGATGGTCGGAAGAGCTGTCTGTTGTAACACCTGCTGTGTTGCTCCTGGGGAACAGAGACATCGGATTCGCCCAGTTGCCTGTATAGCTCAGCCGACGACGTCTAGCCCCTATGGGATCCATCTCCTCCAAATTACGGGGGAACGACTGACTTTGTCCTGGTTTCAAACTGCCCAGTAGAGGTGGCTCGTCTGCCAATGTCTTGCCGCGAGGACGGTGGAAGCCAAAGAGCCCCGAAAGCCTGCGCGACGCACTTTTGGGCGCCTCGCCTACATCCAAATTCACCGGTTGCGATTCAACATCTTTGGGCAGGGTCTGGTCCTCCGGACTAGCGAAGAGGCTTTCCGGCCTGCTTCCGGTAGAGTCTGGCGAAGGTGGCCCATGAGGAAACTCTAGCGCAGTGCTTGGTTGTTCGAGGTTGGAAAAGCGAGAACGGATGGCCGGACGGGGGAGTTCGGGCGACTCCTCGTCTCCGAGGAGATCGGACGGAAGAAGTGCGTCGGCGCGAGGGCTCATTTGAGGGTTTCCAAGCGACATATCCGAGTATCCCCGCGTACTATCCGACTGGCCCGAAAGGCTCGGGAGGGTCATTCCATTGTTGATGTTGAAGAAGGCAGAAGTCGGGCCAAAAGTGGGAGACCCAGTGGCAGGAGGGTTGTAGCTAATGCCACCTGAGAATGAAGGCTCGATGGCCGTGAAATTCATCGGAGATGAGACATTACTGGCGAGTGAGCTGCGGTGTCGACGTGGGCGAATAGTCGCAGTGTTGGAGAGATCAAGATCGAGAGCTGGGAGAGAAAAGGGTCCTGTGCTGCCGGTACGTTGGGTAGTTAGCCACTTTAGGCGCTCCTGCGCTTCTTGGTACTGCTGCTGAGCCTGTAGAGCCAGTTAGAGACTATGTCAAGAACCAAGCTATTGTAGATATACTAACCTGGGTATGGAGGTTGACAAGGGTAGCATAGCGAGCGTGAAGATTGCTCAACTTGATCTCCCACTGGCGGGCTCGCTCATTGTCAATGCGATCCAACTCCTTTCCATCCTCGCTATCTGCTTCCTGGTGGGTTTGCCTCTCCTCCTCCAGCTTCTTGACACGTCCGCCCTTGTCTTGGATTTCGTCATCGATGACCTTCATCTCTGCCTGCTCCTTGGCAATCTTTTCCCGAATCTCATCTCCGCGCTGCTTTCCCTCCTCTTCCAGCCGTGTCTTTTCCTCTTTCGACTCCGCTGCTTCACGGTTCATATTCTCAACCCGCTCCTGCCACCGGACGATATCGGACTTGCGCTTCTTACGCTCAGACTCCTTCTGCTGCAGGAGTCTTTCACGCTTCGCCTTCTCACTCTGCACTGTACGGTTGACACTTTCCAGCTTGTAAACGTGCTTCTTCAGGTCGCCGCTCGCTTCATCCTTTTCCTTGACCCGCTTTTTCAATTCGTCACGCTGTTTCTCGAGTTCCTTCAGAAGAGCGATGTGCTCCTCTTCTTCATCCGTAGTTTGCTTCTCGACGGTCTCGTTCTCGTGCTGCAGGGATTTCAATCGGTCGGCAAGTTGTTCGAGAGTCTCGTCGTGATCGTCATTCGTGGTGCTCTTTTGTGTCTCCTCCGCATGGCCATGCGAGACCTCCGTCCCGCTCGCTGCAGGAGACGGTTTCCGCCCGGCTGAAGATCGCTTGGCTTGGAGCTGTCCTCCGCTGTGCTCCCGAGACATCACGGGCGCTGAGGGGGCAGCAAGACCAGCGGTAGACCGGGGGATGGATGCCCGAATGGTAGGATTGCCGACCGTAGCATTCTGTTGGGTTTGCGACAAGGGCAGAGACTTTGTGCGCACATGGATGATTGCACTTGGGGTTTGGAAGTTCGCAGCACTAACTGAAAGAACGCAGATATGATAGATACTTCCGGGAACCAAGTTCAGGATTTCGACTGCAGTTTCCGCTCGTTTCGATTCGCCCACTGACAACTCATTAGTATCAACAGAAAGAGATTCGAGGGAGCCATTGCCGAGGGTACCCTTGATGCCGTTCAATTGGATAATGTGCTTGTGGATGGAATTGTGAAATTCGGGTTGTTTCCAGGCGATGCGAATTTCACGGGCGGTAATCTCTTCGAGGGTGACTTCTGGTGGCGGAGGAATATCCAGACCGAGCTTTTCAACTAGGACGTCGTTGGGGGTCTGGCAGACCTGCCACGCACGATACAGTAGCCTTTGAGAGAAGTTAAATTTAGTTGTGCGCTCTCTACACACTAACTGAGACCTTGCGACCTACCAGATCAGAGCCCAGAGAATGGTGACAGCCAGGAAGAGAGCCATGACGCCTCGCACCCTCACTCGGGGAACTACGCTGGGGTAGGCGTCGAAGGAGAGAAACAACGGCTCATACATCCCAGCGTCCGAAACCCATGGAGAGGGAGAAAGGAAGGAGGGGACTGACAACCTCGTCGAGGGGCAGTGAAGGGTCAGCAAGCAGACGATTCACCTAGATAATCCGTGAGAGTCGAGGAGGAATTAATCCGATGCTCCGCGGAGGGCTGCCGAGAGAGGAGTGGGACAGAGTCACCTGACTGAGATAGCTGACTACTTTGCTTGCTGACTCAGCTCTGAGTCAACTGGGTGTAGATCATGGGATGTTCCAGACTAAACTACTTTGGGACATTCCTCAAAAAATAGCCTGCGCCAGCCGGAAGGGGCCTAGTGCCCGCTTGAAGCCGAGGAAGGCAGGGAAGAAGCAGCCTGGAGCACATGACGGACCGCCCGGCCGGGGAGAGACAGACGAAGCGGTTGGGCTGTTGAGCCTTCTTGCAGGTCCCAACAATCATAGAATCGCCTTTTGCTAACTCCTTCTCCCATTTCGCTGTCCTATCTTATCTGTCTCCCTTTGTTGTCTATACGCCCTGCTGGTGCTGCAGGTTCCACTCGCTTGGTTTCGATCGTGGTCAAATGCTTGCATGCCAACTCATTCTCTTTGCAAGTGACCGTCTCTCGTTAGTGATTCCACTTCGGCGCATGTCTATCGGGCATTGTCACATGGGCCGTATGTAGGCGGCAATTCCTGCACCTCCGCCGTCTGACCTCCGACACCCCTCTCTATCTGCTGTGTTCTTTGTTTTGTGCTTCGCCTTTATCGCTTGGGAATTGTTACAATATTCTCCAGGGACTTTCCCTGTCATTCTCGCAGGATGCAGTACGTCCGAAGTATCAGTGGTTCCGTCTCCAAGACGTGGAACTCCATCAATCCAGCCACCTTGAGCGGGGCAATCGATGTGATCGTGATTGAACAAGAGGATGGTTCGTGGTTTGCCTCTTTCTCTGGTCAATCGGACACTAATCTCTCGTATAGGAACTTTGGCTTGTTCACCTTTCCATGTTCGGTTCGGTAAATTCTCTTTGCTCCGCCCGTACGAGAAGAAGGTACCGTTCCCGCATCGATCCTCTCAGCAATCCCCATATAACTAAGACGTTCAAGGTGGAATTTTCCGTAAATGGTGTCAAGCAAGACTATGCGATGAAGCTGGGCGAAGGCGGGGAGGCCTTCTTTGTCTTTGAGACAACAGACGAGATCCCCGCCTCGCTGCAGACTTCGCCCCTGGTTTCTCCAAGCAGCAGCCCCAAGATGCGCAGTGAGGAGAACCTCCCTCCATCGCTCCAGGAACCCGATTATTTGGATCTCGATCGATCATCTACGGGCAATCTAGATGGAAAATCTTCAACAGCCCTTCCGGTGCTGTCGAGGAGTATGCGGGCATCGAGCGATTTAGGTGGGTTCTATTGCTGACTTCCATATATCATGTTATATCATGTTATTGACATCCATCTGCGACAGGTACCCTTACTCCTCTTTCACGGTCGCCGGATGACTCCAGTCTGGGCAGGTCCCGACATGGCTCTTTCGGCGATACTCCCGCCAAAATCGACCGAACGGCTACGGATACAGTGCTGTTGACCAAGAGCCGCTCCAACAGTGTCAGCGTAGCGGACCAAGTATATGGGATGCAGTCCTCTGGCGCCAGCGCCGCGAGCGATGATCTGGGCCAGGATGGTCGTTCGCGAAGCCCTCCGCCATTAACTCCCGAAGAGGCGATGTCTCGTGCCGTCTCGCTATCGAAGAAACTCTCCGGATCGAATATTCCGTCTCACGTTACCGAAACAGGAGACCTCATGCTCGATATGACCGGGTACAAGAGCAGCGAAGAGGACGCTCTGCGAGCGGAAGTTCTTGCGCGGAAGATCCTTGCAGAGGAGTTGGAGGGCCCCTATGACATTGGGGCTCTCATCGGGGCCGACGAACATGGGAACTTGTGGATCTACAGTAGCGAAGAAGCAAAGGAGGCTGCCAATCGCCGCGCCACCTTTAATGCGATGCGACCAGGCTCCGCCATGAGCGAGCATGCCATCTCCGACCCGGGATATCACAGTGACAGCGACAAGTCTCTGCAGGACAAGCCGCTACCAAGCCGGCACTATCGCACCCAGTCTGATGTCCAACCCGGCTTCCCAACCCCACCGCAGTCACCGACGACAGAAGCCCAAGAGCCAACTCGAAACTATGCAAAGACCCTCCGTCTCACGAGTAATCAGCTGAAGGCCCTGAACTTGAAGCCTGGGGCGAACAGCATGTCGTTCAGCGTCAACCGGGCTACGTGCACGGCGACGATGTATCTGTGGAACGGGAATATTCCCATTGTAATCTCCGATATTGACGGAACCATCACCAAGTAAGTGTATTCGACCTGGGGTGTCGGAAGTCGCTAATAGATTGTAGGTCTGATGCCCTGGGCCATGTGTTGAACATGATTGGCCGTGACTGGACGCATGCTGGAGTGGCCAAGTTGTATACTGACATTGTCAACAACGGCTACAACATCATGTACCTTACCAGTCGATCAGTTGGCCAGGCAGATACGACGCGGGCCTACTTGTACGGAGTAAATCAGGACGGCTGGCGACTGCCCAAGGGGCCGGTCATCATGAGTCCCGATCGAACCATGGCAGCACTCCGACGAGAAATCTACCTGAGGAAGCCCGAGGTGTTCAAGATGGCCTGCCTGCGGGATATCTTGAACCTGTTCAATGGGAAAGAGAATCCCTTCTACGCCGGGTTCGGCAACCGCCTTACTGATGCCCTGAGTTACCGGTCGGTGAACATCCCGTCCACTAGGATCTTCACGATCAATTCGAATGCCGAGGTCGTCCTGGACCTTCTTAGTCTTAATAAGTACAAGAGCAGTTATGTTTCGATGACGGAGCTGCTGGACCATTTCTTCCCGCCGGTGAGTCTGCTGGTCCAGGCTGGCGGCGAAGAATATACCGACTTTACCTATTGGAGAGAGCCTCCGCCGGACTTGGAGGACTTTTCCTGCACAGACAGCGAAGCGGAGGAAGGAGACCAAGACGAGGAAGAAGACGAGGAAGAGGACGAGGAGGAATACGACGGGGAGCTGAGTGACGAGGAAGCAAGTGATGTCGACGAGGATGAGGCCGGAGAAGAGCTCGGGGCGAGCTACATCTCGCAGGACTCGGTCGATGGATCTGAACTGGTGGACAGTCTTAATCTCAATGCCGCCGATGAAGAAGACATCGAGGACGAAGATGAGGTCGCCTCGGAAGAGGAGTTGGACCCTCCTCGTCCAAGCCAATCCAACCCTGGCTCTCCCAAACGCTGAGGGCAGCAAGATGCATCAACTGCATTATGATGGCGAACTCATAGGCCAGGGACTTGACATTTATCGCATGGATGAGGTGTTTGTGTTATAGAATTGCATGATGGGCGTTTGCACGGTCGCATAGCCATATTATTACTTTTGTTGGGCGGCACATAATGTATGATAGTCGAGACACTAAGTTGCACAGTATAGAATTGTTGCATCATCGAATTCTTTCCTCTTAATTAATCTACTTTCTGCTCCTTCTGCTGCAACATCACGTACATCGACGGTCCCAAGTGCTGGGAATCAATCACCTGCCGAAGGCGGTCTAGCGCGGAACTGCCTGGCCGACCGACTCTCTTTGCCTCCATCGGCAGCTTTCACCTCCAGCTTCATCAACCCCAGCAACCATCTACCCTCGCGCATACACTCATCTACACCTGTATCGGAAACCTCGAATCCCATTCCGATTAGCAGGCGATGCCAGCACCCACCAATTGACCAGCCTCCGAAGCGCGTCGCTACACCTACTATCCCGTCAACGACTACCACTCCACCCATCACCACCCTCAATATCATTCAAAATGGCCTCACCAAACCACGCGCAACCTCCCACCACTCAACCCATCACACCTCCGGCCGAACCATCAAGCACCCAACCCACCGCATCCCAAAACACCACCACCACCACTACCGCCCCCGCCGCACTAACAACAACAACCGCAACCAACAATCCCAGCACCGCACCCGCCGCGAACACCAACCCCAGCGCCCAACCGACCCAAATCCCCTCCACCTCCCTCAAAGACAGCGGCAAATCACGACGTCCGCGCGATGTCCGACTCATCCACATGCTCCTCTCCTCGCTGGGAGTAACAGCATACCAAGAGCGCGTACCACTGCAACTTCTCGACTTCGCCTACCGCTACACGTCCTCGGTTCTGCAAGATGCCGTGCATCTCGCGACAGAAGGCTACGCCGGTGGTCCCGAGGCCGCTGGTGGTGGTGGAAGCTCCCGCGCCGGCGCGTCCGAAATCAATACGGTGTCGCTACCGGCGCTGCGGCTGGCTATTGCGTCCCGACTGCATTATCAGTTCCAGGCGGGATTGCCGAAGGAGTTTTTGATGGATGTGGCGGCGGAGAGGAATCGTGTGGCTTTGCCTGGTGCGAGTCGTGGGTTTGATAGTCAGGGCATGGCGAAGACGGCGGCGGCGAATCAGAGTGTCGTTATGGGTGGGATGAGGTTGCCGCCGGAGAGGTTCTGTTTGACGGGTACGGGGTGGAATATGAGGGAGGAGTGGGAGAGTGAGGGGGAGGAGGAGGTGGAAGAGGCTGGGGATGATGGGAGGGAGAATGGCATGGGTGGTGGTGCTGGTGGTGCTGGGGGTGGGACGAAGGTGGAGGAGGGTGAGGAGGGTGTGGATGAGGAGGAGGATGGGAAGATGGAGGATGTTTTTGGGGAGGATACAGCTATGGGGGAGGGTGATGGGGATGGAGGAGATGGGGATGGGGATAAGGATATGACGGATGTTTAGATATCAGTGGAGAGTGTGTATCTGCATAGAGGCGTTAGGGCGCAGGATAACTAGTTACTATTATAACTACCTACTTAGTACTTGGACAGGAGGACGGGAGATTCAATTTATCTATTCTTTCATTTCCTTCTCCTTTTCTTTTCAATATCATGCACCCATCATCTATCGTCGCTCCATCCATCACATCACCACCACCACCACCAACAACAACTACTTACTATACAAGTCCCAATGAACACACACTAAGTCTGTAAATGCCAAACAAAACGCCAAAACCAGCAGTATCAATACAAAAGAAACGAAAAAAAGAGGAGGATAACCCTATATACGCCAACCTCCACACAGCACACACAACCGCATACACACCCGCCCACCCAATTTCCCTCTACTTCTTCTCAGCAGCAGCTTTCGCAGCAGCCTGCCTCTCCTGATCCTCCCTCATCATGCGAATAACCTCCTCCCTCCGTCTCTCCACCTTCGCAAGCTCCTCCTCCTTCGCCTTCCTCCGCTCCTCATGCGTCGCAAACCACTCCTCTCTCGCCCGATCTTCTACCTCCGGCTTCGCATGCGCTACCATGCACGAGTTCATCGCTAGTCGTTGGTCCCGACATACCCATGTTGCTGTTATTGTGCGGTTGACGGCGCATTCGGCGAATGCTATACCAATGGCCCCCAGTGCTTAGTATGCGTTGCGAACAACTTTCCCTTCGGTTCGGGGAAGGGGATTGAATTGGGATTGAGATTGGGGTATATGGGGGGTTCTCACCCTTGATTTCAGGCGCACAGAGAGATCGCACGCGCTTGTAGTAGAGTTGCTTCACTTCTGCTTCTTGGGCGGCGGAGAGGGGGAGGGGGTTGCGGAGGTTGTATTTTGGTTTGGTTGTTGTTGAGTCGGGTTGGGGGGTTGTGGAGGACATTTTGGATTGGTGAGGCTGAGGTTGAGGTTGTGTATGTATTGTATGTATGTATGTATGTCTTTGTAGAGAGGTGTTGGTGTTGCTGGTGGTGGTGGTGGTGGTGTCAATCTGTCGTGTATACGAGAAGCAATAGCGCACTGTCCGAACACGAGGAATAATCGTTGTCGTAAATCAATCCGAGAATCCGACACAGGGTATCAATTCATCACCGACATATACCACCAATTGCATCAAAAGAAGAAAGCTAGGAAACAACACCAATGATCATGCGTTGTCTAGCACAGCTAGAATAGTTAGAATCCAGCGGAGAAAGAAGTCGGACGGGTTAGTCGGCAACTACCCGATTGGGTTTAGTGTCCCCGACTCCGACTTTTCATTACTTTCTATCTATCTATCCCCGTCCTCTTACCCTACAATCAACCAAGTACTTATTACTCCCTTCACAAGTCCCTTTACGCAGGGAGAGAACAAGGGGATTCGTTATGTCTTCCATGCGCAATGCCGTCCAGCGGCGCAACCACCGCGAGCGTGGTCAGCTCGAAGGTCGTGAGAAATGGGGTATCCTTGAAAAGCACAAGGTACATACATACATACATACATACATACCCTCATTCTCAATTTCTCTATATTGTCATTACATGCTAACATAATGACTGTATAGGACTACTCCCTCCGCGCGAAAGACTACAACACGAAGAAAGAAAAGATCAAGCGTCTACAAGAAAAAGTCCGCGACCGCAACCCCGATGAATTCGCCTTCGGAATGATGTCGAACTCGTCCGCTCGGCAAGGCAAACACGGCGCCGCGGGGAACCGCGACTCGGCTGCTGCGCGCGGTCTCAGTCACGACGCTATCAAGTTGCTCAAGACACAGGATGCGGGGTACCTACGCACAGTGGGGGAGCGGATTCGGCGACAGATGGAGAAGCTGGAGGAGGAGGTGCGGCTGCAGGATGGGATGAAGGAGTTGCTTGATGGGGAGGACGTAGAAAATAAGAAGAAGGAGGAGGATGTGGGTGATGATGATGATATGGACTTTGATTTTGATTTCGGGGATGATGATGAGATGGATCAGAAGAAGAATAAGAAGAGCAGGAAGTTGGTGTTTGCGGATGATCGGAAGGAACAGAGAGTGTTGAAGAAGAAGAAGTTACGGGAGGAAGATGAGGATGAGGATGATGATGGGGAGGACGAGGACGATTCGTTTGGGAAGCAGATGATGAAGAAGTCGAGGAAGCAGTTGGAGGCAGAGAGACAGGCGCTTGTGGAGGCTCGTCGGGCTCGCAAGCTGAGGAAGCGTGCGGCGGAGGCGCGGGTCAACAAGCTCAAGTCGCTGCAGAAGCAGTATAAGGAGATTACGGCCGCGGAGCGCGAGCTGGATTGGCAGCGTGGTCGGATGGATAATGTGGTGGGTGGCACGAATAAGAATGGTGTCAAGTGGAAGATTCGTGAGCGGAAGAAGTGATTTATTGTTCCTTTCATTTGGTTTGTGGTTTGTTTATTGTCCATACTGCTACGGCAGTTTATGATTCTGCGTTGCATCGGTGGTGGGAAAAGTTCCGTGTCTACTAGAGGCGTTCGAGATACCATTAATGTACAGTGATCATCAAGACCTTTTATTGCTATGCTCATATTACATGCGTCAATCGTAAACCGCTGGTACAAATCATGCCTGCTGCTTCTTCATGTGCGCCACGCGGATGCTCACGGCCCGCTTGTGCGCATCCAGTCCCTCCACTGCTGCCAGCTGCTCCACCGTGCGAGACAGGCCCAGCAGACCGTCTGCCGTCAGGTTCGAGCTGGTGATGTGCTTGAGGAAGGATCCCAGGTTCACACCGGAGTACTGCTTGGCGTATCCGTAGGTCGCTGTGACTATTAGCTTTATTCACGATTATAGTTTGAAAAGATTGGAAAGACTTACGCAAAGAGTGGTTGACACCGGCAGAGTAATCGCCCACACTCTCCGGGGTCCACTGGCCGATGAACACACTACCGGCGTTCTGCACCTTCTCAACTGCCGCCTCGGCGTTTTGGATCTGCAGGATCAAGTGCTCAGGGGCGTAGTCGTTGCTGAGAGCCATGGCTTCCTCGAGGTCGCGCACAACGAAAGTGACGGAGTGCGCCAGAGAGCCCTTGACAATGTCCACACGGGGCAGAGCCTTGGCCTGAACGTCAACCTCCTTCTCGATGGCCTGAAGCTGCTCCTCGCTCAGGTCAATGGCGATGAGGATAACCTGAGAGTCCACGCCGTGCTCGGCCTGACTCAGCAAGTCAGAAGCGACGAAAGCAGGGTTGGCGTCCTTGTCCGCAATCACCAGCACTTCACTGGGACCAGCGGGCATGTCAATGCTGACACCGGCGGAGGTGTCGTTGGCGACCAACATCTTGGCGGCAGTGACGAACTGGTTGCCAGGACCCAGGATCTTGTCCACCTTGCTGACACTCTCCGTGCCGTATGCCATGGCAGCGACTGCCTGAGCACCACCGGCAAGCACGATGCTTTCAGCACCGACCTTGTGCGCAACGTAGACAATCTCAGGCGAGATGCTGCCATCCGCGCGAGGAGGAGAAGCGAAGACCAGCTTCTTGCAGCCAGCCACCATAGCGGGAACACCCAGCATCATGGCGGTCGACGGCAGAACGGCAGTACCACCGGGGATGTAGAGACCGACACGCTCAATGGGACGAGAGAAACGAGAGCAGACCACGCCCGGCATGGTCTCCACCTTCAAGCCCTCGTTGCTGTCCTTCTGGGCGCTGTGGAACTTGGCAATGTTGGAGATACTGACATCAATGGCCTCCTGGGTCTCGGGGGACAGCTTCATCAGCTCAGGCGGGAAGGGAGCGCTAAGCACCGGGGAGGTCAAGGAAGTGGCCTTTTCGAACTTGTGGGTGTACTTGAGCACGCCGGCGTCACCGTTCTTGCGGACGTCATCAATGATGGGGCGGACGAGAGCGACGATGGCATCGTTGGACTTCTGAGAAGGACGCTTGAGGTAGTCCTGGACGACATTCTCGGGGGTCGAAGCGGTAATAACGCGGGTCATCTGCATGGGCTCATCGGCCTTGGGAGCGGGCTCAGCAGGCTTAGCGGGCTCAGCAGCGGGCTTCGATTCGGCCAGACCAGCCTTCTCTGCCCAAGGGCCCTTGGCATCACCCTTTCTCCTCTTCACCTTCAGACTCTTGAGGTCCAGGTTCCTCTCCACATCCTCCAGGCTGACACCGGCCGCGACGCAGCGAGTAAGAGCGAAGTAGAGAAGATCCGCAGCCTCGAAGGCAATCTCTTCCTTGGTGTTGGCGCGGCACAGCTCATCAGCCTCCTCCATAATCTTGGCCTGGGTGAGCTTGGGCTCGTTGAAAAGGCGGGCAGTGTAGGATCCGGCGGGCGCATCAGCCTTGCGGGCTCGCAGGGTCTTCTGAAGACGGGCGAGACCGTTGTAGGGGCCGAAGCAGCTGGCGGTTCCAAGGTGGCAGAAACCTTTGAAGATGGTTAGTAGATTCAAGCGGACTGGGAACTCTAGACTTACCTCTGCCAATCTGGTTAACAACAAAGACCAAGCAATCGCTGTCGCAGTCAAAGCCGACGCGGATCAGCTCCTGCACGTCTCCGCTGGACTGACCCTTGTACCAAAGACCACGCTTCCGGCTCTGGTACACGCCGGTGCCAGTGCGGAGGGCCTCGGCAATGCTCTCGTCGTTGCTCCACACCAGTCCCAGACATGTTCCGCGCTCATCAGTCACGGTGGTGGCGTACAGACCGTTGCTCTGGTCTGCGACAGCACGGGCAGCAATGAGAGAGGCGGCGACGATCTTGCCGTTGGGTTCCTTGTGTTCGAAGGTCAATGCATCCGCAGACACAACGCTGACGCCGCCCTGGGCCAGGGTGTCCTTGAGCGTCTCCTCCGTGGGGGTGCTAGTGTATGTGCGGTACAAGTTCTGGGCTTCCAGGTTCATGCCAAGCTTCTCAGCGATGGCCTTGACGGCAGATGAGTCGGTCGACAAGCCAGCATCCTTGTGTTCGGTGGACTCGCCCACCCAGGTCTTGAAGGCATCCACCTGGCTCTCGGCAGCATAGACGACGAGACGTGATGACGGGACGGACTGTTCTTGGGACAGAGCCGTCAGTTGGTTGAGGGAGATGAAGATCTTGGCGGCGCCGGCATTGAGGATGTCGACGAGGTCGCCAGTGGAGGTAATGGCAGTAGCGTCAACATAGACATCAAGGAGGCGGAAGTTGCGCTTGAGGAAATCCTCAGCTTGGGCGAGGCTGGAAACCTTGACGAGGACGCGACCGAAGTAGGCGATCTGCTTGAGGGAGAGGCCGGAGGAGGGGGAAGCGGGGTCGTACGAGACGAGGAGGGGAGTGGCCATGATGGATGGATGGGAGGGGAACTCTCTGGGGGGAAATGTTCAAGGAGAGAGAATCGGAAGTAATATCCCCAAGACGGGGAAAAAAGACAACAGTTGGACAACTGGGGAAAAAAAGACGCGAGAGACGAGCGAGAGAAAGTGAGTCAGTCCGTCCGGGGCGGATCGGGGCAAAGATAAAGAAAGACTCCGCCTGCAATTTTCTTCCTGTTCTTTTGCCCCGCCATCGGAGAGGTTCTCACCGCCCGCCACAAATGCCCTGCAATTGATTGGATTGGCAGTGTTGGGGATGCCTTCATCCATGGCTGACGGTCGCACAGAGTTAATACCCTTGGGCAGATGTCGGGTCTGGCCATGTTCCTGAAGCTTGTTGCTTCAATGGGAGTTCCTACTGATCCTGTTGGCGGGGTTGGCATGCCCCCATGAAATCTTGTGGGATCCCGTCAATTCCCTCCACCGGATTCAATCTAGAGTTCTGGTCTAATCCAGTTTATCACTAATTCCGTGCGGTCACTACGGGCCGATTAATCTCGGAGGAATTACTATGCAGCTTCAAATGAATGGGCGAATATCCTCCGAGTGCTGTCACCTCCACATGTTGGCATAACTTACGGCATTTCATCCCGCATTCGGTCGGCCCCAGTGCCGATCGGGCGCGCTATTACTACCCTATTACCTGCTTCTAGATGTCCACATTTACTTGCAGCCAGCATGTCTTAAGAGGCCATAAATTGACAGTCCTTTCCACTGCCTCTTCGCAGTGCATCACTCCAATTCAAGCATCCTCATCAGGTCGAACTTCTCTCCTGGATGAAGACAGTACAATCAACCAACCAGAAGCAACATCGATACCCACGTATTTGCCATTTGGCTCTCTAGCGAGACAGCAGTTAAAATGCCCAGGTCATTAATCTCCATAACAGTGAAGTATGTTTTGCTGGCCATGTCGTGAGCAACTCGTCGATATGGTTGCCCGGCTATCACTCTGGGCGGCAATAGTGCCAACAGCATTGATAACCAACCGGTACTGCAGTGTCTCCTGGGTTTGTGTGAAGAGAATACAGGCGCAAGATAATGTCTTCAGTCAACGTACAGTAAGTATCCTTTCAGTGAAAGTCCCGAGGCAGCACCATATCCCCTGCTGGGAAGTGGCCAAGGGTCAGAGACCCTTGATGTATCCCATTCCGGGGAGAGAAACTATTCCCTTCATTCACAGAGCAAGCCAACAAAAAAGTTTGATGAAACTGGTGACCAAAGCTGCCCTGCAGTGCTCATATTCTAGACGCTGCTATTAACATCCAGGTGGATCACTTGCAATTACAAAGCACATGCGATGTTTCTGCAAGTAGACTGGTGACCTGATGTAGTAAACTCTAAACACACAGCCGAGGACACCCCGATCATGAAGGAGTCCTGGCATTTGAAAGCGGGGATATAGTGAAGTACTATTTGGGGTTGTCAGCCCACGCCCAACCCCAGGCACACCTTGTCAAGGCAAGCATCTGATGCAGCTCGTGTGAGACAGGGATAAGAATATCGTATGGCTCGATCTAACCATATCGAGAACGGCCCAGAGATACTGACACTTAGTCCAGGCGATCACCTTTGGTTTTTTTTTTTTTTTTTTTCGATTTCAAACCTACTTTCCACTAGTCGGTCTGAGGTCTCCGAATCTCCAGGCGATCATCTGCCCATCCTCATCATCTGCTATGCGGACTGACCTGCCCGAATGATCGACTAAATAGTCCTTCGTACTGGCCATCGCGATGTGACCGTGGCACCTCGCCAAGTCTCGAGTTAAATTAAGCGCCCACCCTGAAGTATCTGATGGGTATGAAGTGAGGATGGAGTACCTGCTGAGTTGCCTGCACGGCCAGCCAGGAACAAGTACCGATCACATCAGGAAGACCCCTCGGGGACCAGCAGAGGAATCCACCCTTGCATGGCTGGCCCTCCAATCGGAGGCTCAGATCGGCGGGGTGGGCCCAAAGCAGCTTAGCGGACTGGGGCTTGGCCACGCCCAGGAACCAGGGACTGCTGGCTGCCTTTCCTCTTTGGGAAACTCCAGGGCCGCCTCCACCTCCCCCTGTGCCGTCATTGTATGCAAAGCAGTTCTTGTGTGTGTCCTCACACTGGCACTCTTGATGGAATCCTGCAACTAAACTAGTAGTCTGCGGGTCTCCCCCAAAATGGATGCAGCATAACTCTCCTTCTCAGCCTGATCCCCTCTGCTTCTCCGCATTCTTTAGCCGGTAGATCGTCTTATTTATACCCGATTCCGTCCGCTTGTTGACGTGCTCTCATTCTTGCGTCCTGTTTTCGTGGGGTGTGCAAGACCAGTTTGGTTTTTTATTTCGGGTCTGCTCACTCGGTTGTCACTCATTTCGCCAAACCATGCATCTCCCCTCGCTTTCCTTGTTCCTGACGGCCTTAGCCATCGCCAGTCCTTCTGCCGCTTATCCTCACTTTGGCTCCTCCCAGCCCGTCCTGCACAGTAAAACCGACACCACTCAATCGCGCGCAGACGCCATCAAGGCTGCTTTCTCGCACGCCTGGGACGGCTACCTCCAATACGCCTTCCCTCATGACGAGCTGCACCCCGTGTCGAATGGCTATGGCGACTCCCGGAATGGATGGGGTGCCTCTGCCGTGGATGCACTCTCCACAGCAGCGATCATGCGCAATGCCACCATTGTCAATCAGATCCTGGACCACGTGGCCAAGATTGATTACTCCAAGACAAGCACCACGGTGAGCCTTTTCGAGACCACCATCCGTTATCTGGGTGGCATGCTGTCCGGATACGATCTGTTGAAGGGGCCCGTGTCCGACCTGGTGCAAGACTCGTCAAAAATCGACGTGCTTTTGACCCAATCGAAGAACCTCGCCGACGTGCTTAAATTCGCCTTCGACACGCCTTCGGGGGTTCCGTACAACAACCTCAACATCACCTCAGGGGGCAATGATGGAGCCAAGACCAATGGTCTGGCTGTGACGGGCACACTGGCACTGGAATGGACGCGCCTGTCGGATCTTACGGGTGACACCACCTATGCCGACCTGAGCCAGAAGGCTGAGTCGTACCTCCTCAACCCGCAGCCCAAGTCTGCGGAGCCGTTCCCCGGCTTGGTTGGAAGCAACATCAACATCAGCAATGGACAGTTCACAGATGCGCAGGTGAGCTGGAATGGCGGTGATGACTCTTACTACGAGTACCTCATCAAGATGTACGTGTACGACCCTAAGCGGTTCGGTCTCTACAAGGACCGCTGGGTGGCCGCGGCGCAATCGACGATGCAGCATCTGGCGTCGCACCCCTCGTCCCGCCCGGACCTGACCTTCCTGGCATCCTACAACAACGGAACTTTGGGATTGAGCTCGCAACACTTGACCTGCTTCGACGGAGGTAGCTTCTTGCTGGGAGGCACCGTACTGAACCGGACGGACTTCATTAATTTCGGCCTGGACCTGGTCAGCGGGTGCCATGATACGTACAACTCGACGTTGACGGGAATTGGCCCAGAGTCGTTCAGCTGGGATACCAGTGACATTCCCTCGAGCCAGCAGTCACTCTATGAGAAAGCCGGATTTTACATCACGAGTGGCGCGTACATTCTGCGCCCGGAAGTGATTGAGAGCTTCTATTATGCCTGGAGAGTTACCGGGCAGGAAACGGTAAGCTTGAGTTCTCATTCTATAGGGTCAATAGTAACTAACAATGTTATCAGTACCGGGATTGGATCTGGAGCGCATTCAGCGCCGTCAACGACTACTGCCGCACCAGCTCTGGATTTTCAGGTCTGACGGACGTGAACGCGGCCAACGGCGGCAGCCGGTACGACAACCAGGAGAGTTTCCTGTTTGCCGAGGTGATGAAATACTCGTACATGGCGTTTGCGGAAGATGCGGCCTGGCAAGTGCAGCCCGGCAGCGGGAACCAATTTGTGTTCAACACCGAGGCACATCCAGTGCGGGTGAGTAGTACATGAATGGGTAGACATTGATAGAGATGTATTTGCTATCAATAGAGACATGGCATTCAGCAGAGTACTATCTGCCCTGTTCTAAATATACTCCAGACAAGAAACCCCCGCAAACTCGCTCATACTCTCTCCCATTCTTTATCCCATTCAGTAGATCCTCAATAGATGATAGGTGATCCACCGCCCCACCCCCATACAAATAGTCGGTGGCGCCCCACACCCAGAGATGCGCACATTTGAGCAGCTTTGCTTTCAGTAGTACCTTGGGGACCATGTCCAATGCATACTATCTATGTGTTTACGTACCTTGGGGGCTAGACAATATAGACATAGAAGCTCTTTGATTTCTTCTCTCCATAAACACAGCACCTCCATCTACACTCTCTTCTTTTCTTACACATACACCCACCAACTCCAAACTATACAGAATCCCTCCCCTAGTACAGTGTAAACACACAAATCCCCAAAGAATACACATAAGGAAAAAGGACACTGAAGATGTGCGGCCCCTCCCGCCCAAGCTCTGGCTCTCTCATTGCTGTTATCTTCCCTTCATCATCATCAGCCTCAAGTTCATCATCACCGCCCTCTTCGTCTTCATCATCATCCTCAAATGACTCCACATCACCAACAACAAACCCATCATACTACCTCTTCTTCAAAAACACCACACACCCAGCGTCAGATACCCAAACAGGGAAAGAATCGAGAATAACAACAAAAGCCCTCTTCCGCATCCCCGATCCTCTCACTCGCAGATCATTCCAGGAGAGTGCGGCGGTGTATATGCGGATTGAGTATGCATATCCTATCCTATGCCTTCTATTAGCTCTATCTCTGTGAATAGTTACTAATCTTGTGGTGTAGGAAGTACGGAGATCTCACGGTGGAGAATACATCTCCCCCGTTACATTATTTCCGGTTACCGATGATGAAGATGCAAGGTGGTGGTGGGGGTGAGGAATTTGAGGTTACCTTGCCGGAGAGGTTGGAGTTGGGGGTCTCTGGGAGGGGGATTGTGGGGAGGTGTGTGAGGGTTGGGGTTGGGTTGGATGGTGGTGGTGTTGGGGATGGGATTGGGACTGGGGTTGTGGATATGGGGAGGGGGGTGGTGGGGTATGATTGATTTGTTCTGTATTGTTGTGCCTTATATGGTGATTATAGAGATATGGAATAGAAGAGAAGGAATAAATCTTTCAATCAATCATGTATGTGGCTGTTATCGACAGTCTGATGGTAGATAGATACACAGAGAGAAAGAGGCTAACTACAGCTTCAACGTACCCAGTTCGTCCGTACCATTCAGATACCGATGCTCTGCTTCTTCCCAGTTAATCACCTTCCAGATGTTCTGCACATAGGAAGCCTTGTTGTTCAGGTACTACACCACACCACCATTACATTAGCATCACCCAACGCAAGTAAAGTGGAAAGGGGTCCTCACCTGCAAATAATAAGCATGCTCCCACATATCCACCCCAAACACCGGAATCGGCCCCGTCACCGGATCCTGATCCTTCGTCGTGACAATCTCGAGGAATCCCTTCTTCCCCGAACTCACCAGCCAGCCCCATCCACTGCCCTGGATGCCCAACAGTACCGCCTCAAACGCATCTGTGAAGTTCTTGACTGATCCCCACTGCTTCTCAATAGCGTCTTTGAGGGTCGGGGCGGATTGCTCCAGCTTAGTGGCTGGGGAGTCGTAGCGAGCCAAGTTCTTCCAGAACAGCGAGTGGTTGATGTGGCCGCCGCCGTTGAACTTGAGCTTCTGCTGGATGCTGATGAGCTGGGTGATGTCGTTGCTGTCGAGAGCGGAGGCTTGAGAGGCGAGGGCGGCGTTGAGGTTGTTCACGTAGGTTTGATGGTGCTTTTTGTGGTGGAGTTCCATGATTTGTTTCGAGATGATGGGTTCGAGGGCCTATTGTTGATATGAGATGAGTTTGATGGGGAGGGAGGGAGAGGAGAGGGCTTACATCGTAGTCGTAGGGGAGGTCTGGGAGGGTGTATTTTGAAGTCATTTTGATACGTTTGGTGAGCTATGCTGTGTAGCTGTTGGATAGATTGAGATGATGGTGATGTTGATGAAGGGAGAAAGGGGGGAAGATAGATGAACCAAGAGAGAAGGATGGAAGAGGGGTAGTTCAACCATCACGACATTTTGAGGGCATTGTCATCCTACAAGGTACTCTTCTCCCACCAATCCGAGGAGTGGGGGATGTGTCCAGATGGGGACCTTGCTGCGCACGATTGAGCAAGTTTTGATCCCCATCATTGGCTGTGAACAGAGAGAGTGGGATGCATTGAATGATATCACAGAAGATTCGCCCTCTTTGGGCGATCTTCGCTGAGCAATACATAATAGACAATTCCGAGGGAGTCCCTGAGGAAATGGACTGGAGGTCGGCTTTCACTTCCATCCATCTGAATGAAGTACTACTTAGTTGTATGGTATCTGCACTGGCCAATCATCATCCCCCCATCACCCATACTTGCTTCAATTCCAGACTAACCAGGAGCAGCTAGACAAAAATCTACAAGGAGTAAGGTGGTAAAATATGCGTAGTGGCCAACTGTCACATACCGTGCGGGGTTGAGATGTTACAGCCTCGGATGCTGGTCGGCAACCAAAAAGTCGAGCTGATCAGAGTCAATACATAACTTCTGTAGCCTCGTCTCACTCTGTCCTCGTCATAACTCCCACATCCACCGTCATTCATCCATCATGTCAGCCTCTGAACAGGTCCAACTGGACAATTTCCCCACCATCTTCTCCTTGGAGGGAAAGGTTGCCCTCGTCACTGGAGGCTCTCGCGGTCTAGGTCTGCACACTGCCAGTGGGTAGGACAGAAGCAATCGCCCCAGAATGAACCAGGATCTTACCAATTGATCTAGTCTCCTCCAATCGGGCTGTTCCAAGGTCTACATCACCTCGCGCAAGGCGTCTGCCTGCGCCGAAGCCGTTGCGGCCCTAAATGCGCTCCCCAACAAACCCCCGCACGCCACCGCCATCGCTGTCCCCGCCGACAACTCTAATATGGAGGAGCTAGACCGGCTCGTCGCAGAGGTCTCTAAGACGACCTCCCATCTTGACATCCTCTTCGCCAACGCCGGTGCAACATGGGGCGAGAAGTTTGATACATACCCAGAGGACAAGTTTAGCAAGGTCATGGACCTGAATGTGAAGAGCGTCTTCTACACCATCCAGAAATTCACTCCCCTGCTGACGGCACGGGCCACCCAAGATGACCCGTCGCGCGTTATCGTAACTGGCTCGACTGCAGGCATTACACTGGGCAGTCTAGGCCCCAGTGCAACCTTCAGTTACTCTGCCTCCAAGGCAGCTGTGATGCATCTCGTCCGGAACTTGGCCGTTGATTTGGGGCCCCGACACATCCTGTGTAATGCCATTGCGCCAGGATTCTTCCCGTCCAAGATGGCCAATGGCCTGATCAAGATCAAGGGAGGACTGGAGGATCTAGAACGGAAGTCACCAAACGGAAGGCTGGGCAGGAAGGAGGATATTGCGGGCTTGGTCGTGTTTCTGGCCAGTCGGGCAGCAAGCCACATGAATGGAGCTGTGATTCCCATCGATGGGGGGAATCATTTGGCGCGATTGTAAATGATGATTGGGCTGAAGTATACGCGTCCGAGATGTAGGAAGGCCTGATCGTTGGACATGGATGGAAGAGTCTCCATCGCAAACGGGTGCCGCATCAAGCCACTATTTGGACCTCTGCTTGTGTTGGGTGGCAAGGAATGCTACCCTGTGCTACCAGATAAATGGAAGCAGTCATCAGGAGATTGCTTTGAGTAGCGTAATCTTTCCTCTCTGAATCTGCCTACATATGGGGAGCGTACTCGCTTCCATCTATCATCTGACGCGCATGCCTTTTCTTTTCCTTTGGTAGCTCCTTATATATACGCTTGACCAGCAATAGTCTCTCTTTATACACCCACAACTTACAATTGATATATACAACAGGCTTCTGAGCTGGCTTGTGATTTTGCACCTCAGACTCATTGTCACCGTTGACATCGCCCCTCATCATATTCCAGCTGACATCAAATGACTTGCTCGATAAACCTCGAGCCTTTCTGATTTCTCAACTTTCTATCCGGAGAGAGCGTCAAGTCGACCATCTCGGGGTGTAATCGAGTGTCGGACATGGACCTGAAGAAACCTGGGTACTCATGCATGTGGCCTTGACTACATTATGGCACGCATGTATACCATCGAAACCGACTACGGAGTTGGCGAACCCCGAGCCACCACCACCCTGGAAATGAAGCTCGCTTATCGTGCCTGCCCTGAACGTCGGTTTGCAAGCTCTACGGTCTCCAGCGGCAGAGAACCACTCTGAGTTTCGAGAGCTGGAACAATATCCATTCTTAGACTCCACAAGGTCGCCAACCCCGCGTACGAGCGCAGGTGATCATGCACAGTTCTTCTACAAGGCATCACTTCTTTTCACTGTACCGTACACCCGGGGTGCTGGTTCTCTTGAAAGATAAACGAAAACAAGATTCGACGTGGCCTTCGTTTGGTATATCTTTTGCTTTATCGCTCGACCTATCGAGACAAAGGGTCTCGTCGCCCAATCTTCAGCTTCGAGAATCCAAAGTACAGCAAACCAAACTGCCGAAAATAATACGAGTATGCTTAGACTCAATATGAATGCTACCAATTCAGCAGAGCGCATCTTAAGTGATTTACCTCAGCCTGATGAGAGTATTCATCAATATGGCCTTTCGTGGCTCAGCGAGCTATACCCCGGAGGGACTCTACCTCCTCAAGAGCCTATTTTCAGGGTCATCAAAAGCCGAAGGACTTTGCAACGTTTCGGCGTCTGATGATAGGCAAGATCAAGCCCGAAAAGGTTATGGGGACAGTATTGATCCAGTACGTGTCATGTTCCTATCCTTTCTCTCCCACCTTCTAAAGAACCTCTACTGATCGTGTTACCCAGGTGAACATCGTACTGTGAATTGTATATCACCCCATTTGAGTACATTCTCAATAGCTGCAACAATAAATTTGTCTCCGTACAGCGGAGGAGCAGTCGGAGTAAACTTCGGTGCCACACAAAAAGCTTCAGATGGCACGGGAAACTTCTCATCGACCACAACTGTCGCCTCTATAGCTGCTGGACCAGGACTGAGGTAATGAAAATTTCAATTCAGAAAGCAGAAGTATGGTGCAGATGTAAGGCTGGAACATGATGCTGTGGGGAAATTTCACTGAGACCGCAGAGTCCGATAGCTTGCTTGGATGTTTGTGGAGATCTTGATCGGCATCGGGAGAAAACTGCTATTTACAGCACAATGGTCCCCTCCGGAGTATCGTCTCCGCTTGATAATCCTGTCGGTGCCTCTGTGTGGGCGGTTCGACCCAATGGAGACTATCGCTCTGGAACCACCTGCGACACAAGACGAAGCTGAGAGTCTGCGGGCCCTTGCTACGTGATCTCGAATCACTTCCTAGAACGATACCAAACAAAACCGGAACGACTGTTGCCATTGGGGCTGCGATACTCTTAACAGGCAACATAAGAAGAGGACATGCAGTTCGGATGGGACGGAGGAGGATATAACGATAGGGAACTGGTTTCTTCGAAGATGATGATACAGGCAACCACTTTGCTTTCCCGCAGGCCTACTAATATTGGGGGGAAAGTACCGTCAAATTTGTGTCTGTCATCTGCATTTAGCGTGGTAGTCTTATGGACCACGCAAGGATACTGGATTTGCCATGTATCGAACAGTCAGTCTACCCTCCCTGCCAGTGGCTTTGTTGGGACTGACAGCCCATAGAAACTCATATCCAACGATATGCCACATCTTTTACATGTTGCCGTCCCAAGGGGTTTATAACGTCTTGCACATGTGGATGATAATGCTCGTAAGAGAAAGTTTATGTTGTATCCCGGTTGGAAGTCAGGCCATGTATTTTCTTCTTCTCTTCCCTCCTCATGCCCCGTTCTTATCACTTTAGCTTCCCTACACTCTGGCAGCCATGCCTACGTATCCTACTATTCTGAACCAAGTGCGACATTTTGAAACCACAGCGATTGCGAGTGGAGCAAGTAATTGTGCTCTTGCTGTTCTGGGTGGCAGTACGGAAATATGCTGGATCACGAAAAGAGTATTGGAAGACCGCAACGGTTGTCCAGTCGCACTCTAGTTGGACGAGAATGTGGCCGCTATGTGGCTTCGGAAATCAGACAGTTACGCATTGCATCCAATCTTTGAGTTGCGGCGCTCCGTCAATAACCATGGCGTGGTATATCGGGCCAACGACTTTGCGAGTTCCCCGGTGGTCACGATGTTGCCCTGGAATTTCAAAGTGACACAGGCACTTGAAACCCGATGCTCCCTATTTTTGGTATTTTGAGATGCATGATGTGGCAACGCCATCCCTTTCGAGATGACCATTGCCAAGCTCTTTATTACTGTTGTTCCAATGCGCTCTTGAACCACTTTTTTTGGACTTGTTCGATCTCTGTTAGTATGCGGTGGATCTGATGTAGACAATTCTTGGACCGGTATATGACTTCGAAGGATTGGCCGCTGGCACTTGGCGACATGCTTCTGGAAAAGCCAGAGGAGGCACTCACTACTTGTGGTGGTTTTTACATGGACGGTGTCACAACAGCTGAAGCTCCCAGGGACTTACCATTCCACCCAGATAATAGCTATTTTTGGACAAGCCAGGCGTCAAGAACTACTCGATGTAGACCTTGATGCAACAGATGCGGGCGAATGCCCACAAGAAGTTCCTTGGGATTTGAGCTGTTCAAAGACTGTGGAGCAAGCACCGTAAAAACAAAAAGCCACAATCAAATCATCCACGCTCGGCCTGTCGCTCAGTTGACAACAGACGACAACGAGCTGAAGCAATGCGGTCCAAATTGCAACCGTTAATCGACCAACAGCTGGTCCCTGAGCCGCCGACACCAGCTTTCTCCGGCTAATGCCCTGACGATCACCCAGCATGCTTTTTGCTGGCCTAGTTGGATCACAGGACTGGGAAGGATAAATCATCACGCAGGGCCAGGGAAAATGCTACTCTGGGACTTCCGATGCCCGCCCCGATTTTGTGTAGGTGTCTCTCTAGATAAGTTCTTCTTATGGCTGCATTAACTGTCCTAGTAATCAGATTAACCACGCCGACACTACCTTACTGAAGTTATAATCATCCACCATGTCTACGAGTGGCTCATACGACATTTGAACGAGTTCCCAGTTAAAGACAGCCACCAAAACAGCTCCCCTT